CCGATAAGCAAGTCGATGAGTTGTCTCTTCTTGTTAATGAAAGTAAGTTGTACCATTGGCTGTAAAATAAACCAAAGACAACTACATGTACTTCGTAGGCTTTACAGCCTAATCAGTCTCCTCTCCGCATGTGCCGTGGACCTGTTGCATAAAAACTAAAAAAATACAAGGCCTTCTTGAAATGAAAGTTTTCAGTCGCGATTGCGTCGCTTGGAAGTTGGTAGTCGCATTCGGGAAACGCGTTGCGTTCAAAACTCAGTGAAATTATTGCCTGGCCATTACCCAAACCGATCAAATAACACGATTATGTACGATGATTTAGATTATTTTTCCCAACACTTTCCTGAAGCTGTAGGTGCCTATCAGCCCTGAAACGCCGTTGACAGCGTAGTTCGAAGGAGTGATCGCAGCCTATCCCAGAGTGACGTTGCAGGAGGAACTCATCCCATTGGAATGTAAGCTCCGCCTCGTTTCGGACAGTGAATCTATCCCCACCTACTGGGTTGAGAATATAAATGAATCTCACCTTTCCATGGGCAGTCAACATGACATGACTCATCTTCTCAGCTGAGTTGGACCTATATGGTTGGGCCACCTTGACCTCCCCGCTTGATCATTCCTGCCGAACAGCACCTTGCTTTGGCCTGGCTTCCACCTGTTTCATCGATAGACAGACAGACAGACAGACAGACAGAGATTTAAATAATATTACTTAGGCCTATTTTGAAGCTACTGATTTTTTTAAATGACAAAAACATAAACTATACAACATCATAATTTATGTTTTTGTCATTTAAAAAAATCAGTAGCTTCAAAATAGGCCTATTTAATATTATTTACATTTTATTTTGGATTGTGACGTGGTAATATAGATAAATAGTAATGGCGTCTTTTTATAGGCACTAACTCTGCCATGGTTCGTTGGACAAAGCCTATGTGGGAATTAATGGTGTTTTTGGAGGGGTTTTGGTTAATCGCCGAAAATAAAGTCTGTGGTAATCACAGGCTTAGGACATTTTATACGTTTTGTTATACGAGATCATCTTCATCAGCTAACGTAACTTTTTGTAAAAATCTGGAAACATTTATGTAATTTTAAAAAGCACATAAAGCCTTTATGATTCATAAAGGTCATGTTAACTGACTGATATTATGTCATTGAACAAAACGTATAAGATATCCTAAGCTTGTATTAACCTCATACCTTATTTTCGGCGTTTATCCCCAAACTGTTGAAAGGAGGGGAATAGGAATAGCTAGTGTCATGGTAAAGAGAGACACCTAGTGGTGAGACTAAGAAATGACTTGTATATTAGACTGGTTGGTTGGTTAGCAACAAAAACGAGAAGCACGCAGCCATGGGCGCAAAACAGATGGGGTTGGCTTAGATTGTTGACAACATGAAAGCTGTATTTCATCTTGTATGTTTATTGAAAACATCAATACATTTGCACAATGACCACTTGTTATCTTTGAAATACATCCTTACAGTTGTTGGTTAGCTAGCTAGTGAAATTTAGCCATATTAGCATTGACCAGAAATCAGTCAAAACACATCAAAACAAGACATGGTATCAATAACAAGATGAAACGAGCCACTTAAGATTCCCCACACGGCAGTTTCTTGTCCTTCTAGTCATTGCTAGCAATCTGGCCATCCAGAATCAAAACAACACACTGACTTCTGCCCCATGGAAGCACGCACATCGTTTTCGTGATGTTGTCAACCCTTCTATGGAGAGTTGAATATATCCACACTAGTTAAACATCCTGCATAGCATAAGCATAGCATACCAATCACTGATTATCATGATAAGGCCATTCTAACATAACAAACCACATCTGCTCCCATTTCTGCTCCCATTTCCGTCTTTAACCTCATCAACATAGACCCTTTGTCAGACCTCAAACTGTTGTCCTTATTTGCAACCAGAGAAAGCAGTGGTGAGGTATAATAAAGCCTACATGAAACACAGCCCTTATTTTAAGTGTTTCTAAAATCCCCTATGGGAAAAATGAATGGTGGAAAAACAATTGGAACCATTTCCCTGTTTGACCACTAGGTTTTATGATATTTTACCATTACTATTATTTAACACCCAAAAATACATTTGATTAATAAAATATTTAATCATTTGACTTCCTCAAATGAAGTGGATGATGACACAATCTGATTTCAGGGAGGGAATCTGACTTCATTGGTCCTCAACTGGCAGCACAGACCCTTCATAGAGCCCCACAGTGGAGGTGTCATACTACCCTATCACATTAATCATTTAGTGATTACAAATGTATTTGAAACTTCACGCACAGTAAAACTTTTGTATGATTTTATCGATACATAGGAGTGGGAAAAAAGGTGCTTGTGCTTTGATACCACAACAAAGCACACCAAAGTAATAAAATAAAGATGGCACTTCTAGAAGTCTATTTCACACAATAGCCTGCTGAATTTTCAAGATAACTTTGATTTAGGCACAAATGAAAATGTGGCACTGTCTTGCCCATGGATTCACGTTTCATTATTGTCTCAATACTGAGTTCCACATTCGACTAGCCATGTGTGACATGCATGCGCAGTTACAAACCTGCTAGCGGCAGGCGGACGAGTCATATCCACCGTCGTATTATGGATGAAGCCTGAGCTGGAATGGGAAGCTAATTGAAGCCGCCTAGCTATAGAAAACCCTGAGTAGATCTAGCTAATTTTAGGCCCTTTGTAGGCTTATAGTTACATTCCAAGTTTTTTTTGTGACTTATGTAGCCTACAGAATATACACATGGTATACACTGTCCAACGAAATGCTTACTTGCAGGTTCCTTCTCGACATTGCAACAACAAGAAATAATAAAATATGAGAATATGAACATAAAGTAAATGGCTCAATAGAATAGAATAAACATTTTATTCTGATATGATCTGTGAACCGCACATGATACAGACAATATCTTGGTGTCATTATACTCCTTATAGTGTGCTTTAAAATACGGTGTATGTCTAGATTCTGAATTAAATTTCACATTAATTTATTCAACATAATAAATATGAATATCTCAAAAGTACCTTTTTTTTGTCAAATGTAACCGCTCGAACACGCCCAACATGTCTGCCTAGGGAGACTACTCTCAAAACCTTCAGCATGTTTTAGCTATACATTCTTACTTAATTGAGACATTGTTGAATTGGAGAAACCTGGAGGATGGTACCTTTGCTGTCATCTTATCAATTACCTGAATTCCTGAGGAGAGGAAGGATTTTTATGTTTTCAAACAGGGCCCCTGGCCCCTATAGCTGGAAACAGTCCTTTGCTGCTGTGTTCTGCTAGCAGCATTTGGGAGCACTGGCTACCTCAAATAAAGAGAGGGGTCCAGCTGCATACATCATCTCTCAGGACTTCATCTCTCAGGCCCCTCTACAACGCCTGGTTCGTCACCTCCGGGCCTGACACATGAAGCGGATTATTTTTTCTGTTTACCACAGAGAGGATCGTGCCCAAACGACTGACAACGCACTTTAGATGGAAACGAATACACAATGAACCCATGAACGGTACACAGTGTCCTTCGCCCCCTCCTGCCGAGCACTGTTTTCCCACAGTTCCAATGTCAACAGATTACACATCAATTTTAAGATAAAACATTGCACATGAACATTTTAGTCATTTACCAGACGCGCTTATCCAGAGCGACTTACAGTTAGTGAATACATATTTTTATTTTTTATTTTTATACTGGCCCCCCGTGGGAAACGAACCCACAACCCTGGCGTTGCAAACGCCATTCTCTATCAACTGAGCTACATCCCTGCCGGCCATTCCCTCCCCTACCCTGGACCAATTGTGCGCCGCCCATGAGTCTCCCGGTCGCGGCCGGCTGCGACAGAGCCTGGATTTGAACCAGGATCTCTAGTGGCACAGTTAGCACTGCGATGCAGTGCCTTAGACCACTGCGCCACTCAGGAGAACAGGATGAACCCTATCTGTCCCGAGACAACAGTGATTGTAAGCTTTTAAATTATCTCAAACTCAACCGTTTGGTTTAAATCAAAAGTGATGCTGTCAAAATGTGATTGCTAAGATTCATTAAGACATTTTCATTCAAAACCGGAAACTCATCCCACCAATAGGTGGCAGTATAGTCATATCATTGAGGGATCCTGGCGTTGGAGAGGGGCCTGTGAGATGAAGGGCCTGAGAGATGGTCTAAACTTATCCCACCAGTAGGGAGCAGTATAGAGAGGGGCCTGAGAGATAATATCTAAACGTATCCCACCAGTAGGTGGCAGTATAGAGGGGGGGGCTGAGAGATGATGGGCGCATTCGACATCGCGACTTTAAAGGTGAGACTGACAGCTACAAATCACCTTGCATCATAAATAACTATTCAATATTATTTGTATATGAGTCAGCCAATCACAATTTACCCATGATACATCACGGTTTTGATGCTCTCGAACACGGCCGATGTCTGCAGTTAGACTCTATTGCAAATAAAAGTCTACGGACTTATATTTTGAAGATGCAAATAAAAGTCTACGGACTTATATTTTGAAGATTCAAAGCCGGATGTTCCCATATCTGTGCGGCATTGGTACAGTTGCCACCAGTTAACACAGCCACAAAGTCAGAATTGGCTGTATCGTAAGAATTCATGGAAACAAACATTTGCTTTCTGGTCTTAATTTAAGGTTAGCGTTAGGCATACGGTTAGCACTGTGTTTAAGGCTAGGGTTAATGTTAGGTTTCAAATCAGATGTTAAGAATATAACTTGTAGAAATAGGCGTGGTTTATACATTTGTGGCTGGGGTAACCAGTGACGACCCATTGGTACTGCTAGCGGAACACGGGCCCCCATATTGAGCTTGGCTGCGAGCAGTACGGTTGTAGGAAGCTGCACATACCCAGGGATGGTCTTCCTTTAATGCATTTCAATTAGACACAGATGGTAAGGGTACAGTAGGGGTTTTCTTTGGAAACATTGCACCATAACTTGCTCAGAGATGTCGACGCGGTCGGAGAGAGAAAAAGCCCAGAAACTGAATGAGCAGCATCAGGCCATTCTGACCAAAATGCTCCGAGAGGACGACAACAAGTACTGCGCTGACTGCGAGGCTAAAGGTAATCTCAGCTGCTGAAATATAGACAGTGAAGCTAGCTAAGCCCACCTGGATTCTGGAAATGAAAGGTGGTGGTGGTTCCATATACGCCATCCCAACCAGCCATACATCGGAGTTTGACTTCTGCCTGAGTGTGAGTGAGCAAGCTAACAGACATTGGCTAGCTAGACAACCTACACCGGTCATTCCATTTGACAGGTTTGTTAGCTTGCTAGCCTAGCACGATGGAAGCAACACAGAAAGCATGTATTGGCTCCAATGTCCTTCTCTCCAATTTATTTATGAGCGGAAAAACATTGTCGGAGAGCAGTCTACGATAACGGAGAGTAATTAGTCTCCAGTATTGCCAGCACACAAGCCAATGCGGGCGGATAATACATTGCTGATGTAGCAGTGACTGTCAAGCAGGTTTTGCTTCAGCTCAGCGAACCACCCACCTGTGATTAATAAATGCCTCCTGCGTCATGATGACGTGTTTTACTAACGTTTACCTTTCGCTCATGGACAGTCCCTATTTTCATTTCACTATCAGCTGCAATTGCATGGTCGACACACCAAAATAGTATTTTTGTGCACGCCAGCAATGATCAGTCAACAGCATGACGTGTCCCTATTTCATATAAATGGGTCCTTATCTGCTTTGCCCGCGAGAGTTTCTCTGGTTGGTCTCAAAATTAGGATTTTGAGATGCGACTGTAGTTGCCATGGCTCTGAGAAAGTCCAGTCCAGACTAGTTCTCACGTGATTGGGGGATGCTGGTTGTTTGATTGACAGATGGGGCCAATGAAAAGCACAGCATATGAATGATGCTGTAATATGAAGGATACAACCAGGAACAGGACAACTGACAACAACTTTGCACTATCCTTTGTCAGACACAAAAGTTGACCCGACACACTAGACATTGCTCTGTCAAATTCCAGGTTGTCCTCAATCTGAATACAATATATTGTATAGCCCACATGGGTATTATTCCTGGAGTGTGTTATGAAATTTGTGCAGGATACACCCACCCATTGCTAATGGATCCTGGACAGGCTCTATTCTGCAGAATGGTTCTATTTTTCTATTCTCAGCCTATGTAATCCTGCTTTATGTAACATTATATTATGGCTCAGTCAGGTAAGAGGAAGTGTTTGTTTATTAAGTGAAAGCTCCACTCAAGCTGCACCCTAGGGTGCTGTATATGTGAACGCTCACGCTGCATCCGTCTCTTCGTCTGCCCCCTTTGTGTTTGTGTATGTGTGTCTGCATGCGTGCATGCCTGTGCGTGAAGGGCTCACATGCTCCTGTGTGTGTGCGTCGTGAGGCAGTGTTCCTGTAAGTCCTGTGTAATTATCCTGTGTGTGTGTGAATGCGTGCGCATTTGCGCATGCATAGCCTATATGTTATGATGGGGAGATGATACTGTCAGGTCATAAAGGTTTTAGCACTGTGTTAGAGAGAATGGAAGGAAAGCGGAAGAGAGAGCGATCATTCTATACTGGAGTGTTGCTTATCTCCTCTCCCCACACTGCCTCTCTCTCTCTCTCCCTTCTCCTTGCCTAAGCTCTGGTTTCTATCTCTCCAGTGTCCACACAATGGGTAAGGAAAATTACCCAGCATCCTTCACTGCTTCTCCTTCCATGGCCTACAAAGATAGGGCAAAGCTGTGTGTTCCCATTTTAATTGCTTCCCAACTACAACTCAGGTTTCAGGACAGTCTCCACCATGTTGCTTTACCAGTATCCATGCCTTTGAGATTAGAGCTGGAGGAGGAGAGCAGACATGGACACAAGTCTCCATCCGGTATTTGTTGGAGTCTGGACTATAGACTTGGGAATGAGTGGTAAGACCTTCATCAGGCATAGGGGTCAACTCTTCTCTGCAATCAGAGGAAGATATTTTCAGCTGCTTTCTTCCTCCGTGTTGTCATGCTGCAGTCAGAGCTGATAGTAATTTGACTTCAGACTTCACTGAGTAACAAGGGCCTGAGGCACTCTCGCTTCACTGACTATTTTGTCAAAAACGCAAGCAGGCGTATTCTTTCTATCAATATCTCTCTCATCAATACCACGTATCTGCCCTTTGTGCTAGCACTGAAGTTAGTATTAGCGAGAGGGAGATAGCATCTCGCTCTCTCTCACACACACACCCCAGAGGCATGTTAACCCATGACTGTAAGGGCAGCCTTCTGATAGGCTGGCCCAGGCCGGTTGGGTGTGGCTCATAGGTTACATCATCAAGCTCCATCTGATCTCACACACTATCCGTTGGCTTAGTTGTGCCTAGCTTACTACACTGTCACTCAAACCTAGACCACACAATAAGAATACCTCTTGCTTCATTTCCACCTCTGCAGTGAAACGGCAACAGACCTCTAACAGACCTGTAATAATGGTGAATAGATGGGGTGTTGGCCTGTAGCTTTGCCTACTGCAGTGTAATGAGTGACTCACCTGAGCTGCTCAGCTGTAATTCCACCCTGCCTGCCTGTGTCTCTGTGCCTGTAAACACTGTGTGCACACTGCCCTAAATTCTCAAGGTGTGTGAACACATTTCTGTGTATACCTCTACCGCTGCTATGTCTCAAGGTGAATAAGCCTAGGCTAGAACAGAGTGCTGACCTTTAGATCATTAGACTAGCGTACTCCCTTGTGCTGGGACTGTGGCATGTGTTTAGTGGTAGGCTATCATCTGGCATGGCATGTTCAGGACAGTGGCACACTCTCTGAGCTGGCATGATTTTCTCTGTGTTGGCACGGCAAGCTTGGCAAGAAGGCTCCTGAGTGGCGCAGTGGTCTAAGGCACTGCATCGGAGTGCTAACTGTGTCACTAGAGATCCTGGTTCGAATCCAGGCTCTGTCGCAGCAGGCCGCGACCGGGAGACTCATGGGCGGCGCACAATTGGCCCAGCGTCGTCCAGGGTAGGGGAGGGAATGGCCGGCAGGGATGTAACTCAGTTGATAGAGCATGGCGTTTGCAACGCCAGGGTTGTGGGTTCGATTCCCACAGGGGGCCAGTATAAAAAATATATATATGTAAGTCGCTCTGGATAAGAGCGTCTGCTAAATGACTAAAATGTAAATGTAAATGTAAGGCCAGATGGGCACCGAGGGTTGTTCTGCCCCCTCCTTGATACCCCCCTCTCTCTCTCCCTCTCGGCCTGCTGTATGAAGGAGATGGCAGCCTACTTCTGTAACTACTGAATATAGGCCATGCAAGGTAAACCTGTGGGAGACAAAGCCCATATATTGTACGGCTCTTGACGTTAGCCTAGCCTCACACGACAACGCGTAGTCTGATATCCTGCAGGTTATTGTGACCCACCTTTGTGAGCCACTATTCAATGAATCCAGTGTTTCTGCAAGAGAGATTAGCAACTGTAAGTCGCTTTGGATAAAACCGTCTGCTAAATGGCATATTATTATTATTATTATTATTATTATTATTATTAGCAACTCTCAACATTTGGGAAAAAGTGCTCAGAATAGTTAGAAACCTCTCCCATCTTCTCGATGTCCTCATGAGGCCTGCCTACTGTTCCTCTTATCACCAACAGGTGGTGCCAGAAGCCCAATAACTCAGTGTGTGAAAGTCAGGGAATTGATGGAGGGGAAGCCTAATTTGATGATCTCTCAACCCAATACTTTGTGTTACTTCATTTTCTTCAGGGGACTAGAAGTAGCCTAGTAATTTGAATGTAATCTGATAATGGGGTGGTAGATGCCCAGTCTGGGCTATGGCTCAGCTCAGTGCCAGTATCCACAAAGCCTCTCAGTGTAGCAGTGCTGATCTAGGATGAGTTTAGCCTTTTAGATCATAATGAATAAGATTAATATGGACAGATCCTGGATCAGCTCTCCTACTCTGAGAAGCTTTGTGGATACAGGACCAGGTAACTGCATTCACCATAGACATATACATCAATGACACACACACACAGCTCAGAGCAGTCGGCTCTGACAGATCCAGCTCCGAGGCCCGTTTCCTGAGCTCCATCAGCAGCGGACAAAATTAATGTCTTTATGCAACAAATGTTAATACATCGAACCGCATCATATCGAACCGAAATGCATTGTTTCGTTCCTCTAATGAAACCGACTCGACCGACTCGTTTCGACCTAAAATGTATCGTATCGGAGCCTGTCTATCTAGATGCGTATCGAATCGCCATTGAAAGGGAGGATGCACACCCCTAGTGTGTACGCATGTTCCATTCTTGCTTGTAGAACATGTGTGTGCTGTGTGAGCAACTGCAGTCCTTAACTAATCTGAACACCACTGGCTTTCTCTGTGGGCTAGTGCCACAACCTCACCTTGCAACCTAACCTGGACTGCACTGCATCCAGCCACCACCAGGGAGCAGCAGAGCACTGTTCTCCAGTGCTAGCGGTAGAAGTTGTCCCCCTAACCACAGATCTAAGATCAGATAGGCCTGCTAATACTAACCATTAGGCTCTATTGGTTAGGATTAGCAGGCCTATCTGATCCTAGATCAGATCAGGGGGGTGACACAAATATCTAGCCTAACCCTGTATCAGTGTTTGAGTGCAACTTTATCTACTGCAACTTGTTCCTCAAGCACTGTCATTGATTGGGTGGATTTAATTTGACACAGCTTTGAACAATGGTGACACAGACAAGGCCAGGACTAGGAAGTTGCTGAGACGACCTGTTAGTGTCTTCTGGAGAACTACGGCCACCAGCTCCCTGTACCACACACACACACACACCCGTCAGGCCCTGTCCTCAGGTTGACGGCAGTGGCCTTCATTTCAAGCTTGGCTGCTCGTCTCCCCTAGTTTCAAAAGCTCCACTGTCACTCATCGAGGCTCCAGGGGTGTGTGTGTGTGTGTGTGTGTGGGGGGATGTGTTTGTTAGGTTGGCTGATTAGGTCTGTAGTCAGTCAGGGGTTGATCTTTGGCAGGGGGTTCTGACTAATCAGCTAATCAATGCTCTTTAGTCTGGACTACGCTTAGCCTAATTGAATGAATCAGTGTTTTAATGCTGGGGTGGAACAAAAAACATTACACCCCTGGAGTTGGTACAGTAGCAGAATAATAACTGTGTGTCTGCGTCTGTGTAGGTCCGCGGTGGGCATCGTGGAACCTGGGGGTCTTCATGTGTATCCGCTGTGCTGGCATCCACAGGAACCTGGGCGTCCACATCTCCAGAGTCAAATCTGTCAACCTGGACCAATGGACCCAAGAACAGATCCAGGTAGCATGGGGGTGTGTGTTTTATAGGGGGGTGTGATGGACAGTGAGGTCTGTGGGTGGTTTTTGGGGTGTTGTGTTTTGGTTGGGCCTGAGGGTGTTTGTGAATTAGACAGATGAAGAATAAAATGGTGTGTTTGAGGCACACGAACCCAAAGTGTAGGCCTATCTGTGGTTTCTTGAAGAGCTATCTGTCAGGGTAGATGGAGCATGCGTCTCTCTCTGAGTGTTAACCTCTACGGGAACGGTGTCCCGCATACGGGACGGTTGAGCTATCGTGTGCTAATGTGATTAGCATGACTGTTGTAATAACAACAAACTTTCCAGGACATAGACATGTCTTATATGGGCAGAAAGCTTAAATTATTGTTAATCTAACTGCACTGTCCAATTTACAGTAGCTATTACAGTGAAAAAATACCATGCTATTGTTTGAGGAGAGTGCACAACAACAAAAAACATATCACGGCAACTGGTTTGATACATTCACCTCTGAAGGTAAATAATGTACTTACATTCAGTAATCTTGCTCTGATTTGTCATCCTAACGGTCTCAGAGATAAAATGTAGCATAGTTTTGTTTGATCAAATCCATTTTTATATTCAAATGTAGGAACTGGGTTCTACAGTTTGAACCCCTGCTGTCTCTGGCTCCACACCCACCCACCCCGCCCGGCCATCTAGATGTGTGAAAGTTAGTGTATAAGCCAAAGATCCATCATGTATGACATTACTGGGAGTGTCTAAACTTACATTTTGTATTATCATATCATTTTTGTATGTTCTCTATAGTTATGTACTTGAAAATGTATCAATTGACCAACTCGGCCTATTTGGGCAGACTTGATACAAAATAGTCCAGTATTGCAACACTTTACTGGATCAATCTGAAACTTTGCACACACACTGTTGCCATCTAGTGGCCAAAATCTAAATTGCGCCTAAACTGCAATATTCTATTGTGGCCTTTCTCTTGCATTTCAAAGATGAAATAAATAAATAAACGCATTGTTTTTTTTGTTTGTATTATCTTTTACCAGATCTAATGTGTTATATTCTCCTACATTAATTTCACATTTCCATAAACGTCAAAGTGTTTCCATTCAAATGGTATCAAGAATATGCATGTCCTTGCTTCAGGTCCTGAGCTACAGGCAGTTAGATTTGGGTATGTCATTTTAGGCGAAAATTGGAAAAAAGGGTCAGATCCTTAAGAGGTTTTAATTGCTGTTTTAATGGGTAATTATTCCAACTTTAGCTCGTTCACTCCTCCTATCAAATCCATCATTCTCATCTGCCTGTGGCAGTTTCTTCTTTCTCTCTGTGTGTGTGTCATTACCAGGTACAAACTGACTAGAATGTAAATATAACATTTCAAAGCAGTTGTGCTGACTGTTTTCAGTTTCTCTTCATTACATTTGTTTTGAAGACCTTGCCCTCCGTTTGAATATGTGATGCATTATTAAGCTAGAGATGTCTAATGATATATTGAAGGCTTTTATCTCTCTCTCCCTGTGTGTGTCTGTGTGTAGAGTATGGTAGACATGGGGAACAACAAGGCCAAACATCTGTATGAAGCCCACCTCCCAGACAACTTCAGACGTCCACAGACCGACCAGTATCCTCTCGTCTCTCTCTGTGTATGTGTGTTTAGTAATAATGAACCCCTCTGTGTGCATCTGCATTCGACCACCACCTTACACATCACAGTTCCTATTCCCATGTCACTTTGGACCCAGTCGTGATGAGACACACATTTGGACACAGCACCTTTGAGTGCGTGGTTGTATTGAAGAGTGTAAGGCGGCATGGTAGCTGGGCGGCCTTCTGTTCTGACAGGACACGACAGCTGTGTGTTCTTAATAACAGCTGTTCCTGTTCAAACTCAACTGGTTCATGTCGCTAATATATAATCTGGTATCTAGCTTTTTTGCAGGGTGGTCATCAGTTTTGCCTTTAGCTCCTGCTAGTTCTGACAGTAGCTCAAAGGCATAGGGGTCGAGCTAGCTAGACTATTTGGAAGGTAGATCGAATGTGTAGGCTACGTATCCGTTGTGTGGGTAGTTGGAGTATTTGAAATAAGGCAGTGTGTTTCTTTGCTTTCATGTTGTCCTTCTCCCCCTCACCTTTTGTGTTGTGTTTTTCATGGTTCCTTTGTCTGTCTTTTCTTCACCCCCAACTTGCCCTTCTCCTTTTCTGTTACTTCTCTGTTGTCAGATAGTCGCTCGCTCACTCTCTCGCAATTCAAATTCAATTCAGTAGACTTTATTGACATGGCAAGTTAAATTACTTACATTGTTTAAGTACACATATAGCAACAATGGTGGGACCAACAGCAATAAAGCATCAGTAATAATAATAATAATAGTAGTAGTGGAAATAGTATTACGTGGTCCTCTGTAGCTCAGCTGGTAGAGCATGGCGCTTGTAACGCCAAGGTAGTGGGTTCGATCCCCGGGACCACCCAAACACAAAAATGTATGCACGCATGACTGTAAGTCGCTTTGGATAAAAGCGTCTGCTAAATGGCATATTATTATTATTATTATTATTATTATGACCATTAACAGCAACAACAATATGAATGTGAATAATAATAAATGAAAGCAATAGTAGTAGGCCAGTCTCAATATGACTGAAAAGACACATGGCATGGTATGAAAGCCAAAACAAAACAAATGGGCAAATATTATTGACATTGCATTCTCCTTTCTGTCTTTCTTGCTTTCTTTCTTTTCCCCCTCCCCCCTTCAGCTCTGGGATCTGACTCGTCTCCATGTAAATTCCAGCATGAATAAAGATGTTCCTACAGGAGCAGCACCCGAATATATTCACACACACACCACTTTTTCTTGAGGGCATTTGGGCCTGCTTCAACAGCGACCTCCCTTCCTTTACTTGTTTTTCTGCATTGTGAATTTCAGTCTTCCCCTTTCTTTCCTCCCCTGCCTCTGTAACTAGGCCATTCAGAAACATTCAATGTCGTCTTGGTAAGCAACACCAGTGTATATTTGACCTTGTGTTTTAGGTTATTGTCCTGCTGAAAGATGAATTTGTCTTCCAGTGTCTGTTGGAAATCAGACTGAACCAGACTGTGCTTAGCTGTATTCCGTTTCTTTTAATCCTGGAAATCTTCCTTTCAGTCTGTCATTTAGGTTAGTTTTGTGGAGTAACTACAATGTTGTTGATCCATCCTCAGTTTTCTCCTGTCACAGCCAAACTCTGTAACTGTTTTAAAGTCACCATTGGCCTCATGGTGAAATCCCTGAGTGGTTTTCTTCCTCTCCAGCAACTGAGTTAGGAAGGAGGCCTGTATCTTTGTAGTGACTGGGTGTATTGATACACCATCTATAGTCTAATTAATAACTTCACCATGCTCAAAGGGATAATCTTTGTCTTCCTCTTTGTTTTGTACCCATCTACCAATAGATGTCCTTCTTTGCGAGGCATTGGAAAGCCTCCCTGGTCTTTGTATGTGTGGGGTACAGAGATGAGGTAGTCATTCAAAAATCACGTTAAACCCTATTATTGTACACAGAGTAAGTCTTTGCGGTTTATTATGTGACGAGTTAAGCACATTTGTACTCCTGAACTTATTTAGGCTTTCCATAACCAAGTGGTTGAATACTTATTGAATCAAGACATTTCAGCTTTTCATTTTTAATTAATTTGTAAAAATGTCTAAAATAATTCCACTTCAACCTTATGGGGTAGTGTGTGTAGGCCAGTGGCACAAAATCTAAATTTTAATCCATTTTAAATTCAGGCTATAACACCACTAAATGTGGAAAAAGTTGAGGGGTGTGAATACTTTCTGAAGGCACTGTATAGTAAGACATAGCTGTGTGATTGTGTGTGTGTACCACAGTGTCATTCCTTAACCCCTGACCTCAGAGCAGTGGAGTTCTTCATCCGGGATAAGTACGAAAGGAAGAAATACTACGACCAGAACGGCCTCAAAACAGCTTCAGTAAGTGTACACACACACACACTTTCCACAACACTGATCTGTTACACAGCAATTGGCACGAATAATGGGTGTGTGTCTATGCACATTGTGTGTGTGGGTAACATTATTTGTGTGGTGTTTGTATGTGAATGCACTGCGTATGGGAGTTCTTTGTGAGAGGCATGTTTGTGTGGCTTATAATAATAATAATAATAATAATAATAATAATAATATAATAATAAAATAATATGCCATTTAGCAGACGCTTTTATCCAAAGCGACTTACAGTCATGCGTGCATACATTTTTGTGTATGGGTGGTCCCGGGGATCGAACCCACTACCTTGGCGTTACAAGCGCCGTGCTCTACCAGCTGAGCTACAGAGGACCACATATATAGGCTTCATATACTGCAGTGTTAATTTTGGCACCCTTTTTTTAGATTTGGTCTTAGTCATTTTGACTACAATATAATGAAGTCTTAGTCACATTTTTGTCATTTGAATAATGATTTAGTCTAGTTATTGTCAAACAGTGGGCCATTTTAGTCAAATCTCATTTGTATTGCCTCATTAACCTATAGTAAACATAAATCACTGACTTCCATGTACACAAACATAGCCTTCAATCAATCAATCACATTTATTTATAAAGCCCTTTTTACATCAGCAGATGTCACAAAGTGCTATACAGAAACCCAGCCTAACACCCCAAACAGCAAGCAATGCAGATGTAGCCTTGTCTTATCAACATATTATTCTGCATAACATCCTATCGCATGATTCTCTTCCTAACAGCCAAATTGGCAGAAGAACACATTACTCAGCAGCAGATAAAACATCAGACCCATTGACAGGGCTCCAGACTAACATTTTCCCCCAGTGCCACCAACTTTTTCAGTGGCACCAGCCCGTGATTTTGTCGCACCAATTTTTTTCCGTGGCATCACGCAATAGAAAACATTTGTAATCATTCACCCTAGAAAGTAATTCGCAGTGCTTTAGACTGTGTAATAGACTATTGAGATTGTAGGCTATTCCAAAAATTAGTTGTTTAATCTAACAGGTCCAAGCAGGAATACATGATTCAAGATATTTTGATGTGCAACCTAATCCAGTGATTGTCTTGAATTGTGAGTTGACAATAGGATATTGTTGTTATATTATACTGATAAAATAGGGCTACAGAATTTTCAGATTTTTTGTATTTTTCAGTAGAGATTAATTTGCCTACATCTTTATGTGCATTAATATCATAGGCTAATTCTTATATAAATACATTTTACATAAGAAATGTCAGTTTGTACGTTTTGAACATTTGGAAATGAATTAATATAAATTATTTAAAAGGCGGACTTATTTGGAACACGCATCCATGGGCTTAAAGGGTTCATTCTGTACGGACCTTTCACATTTTATCAAATATTTTGGTAACACTTTACGTGACACCTAGCGTTGTGACACAGTCATAACCATGTCATATGTCATAACAGCTGACATAACTTGTCATAACCTGTCACAATATGGTCATAATACTGTCATGACCCATATATTTACACCTGTTGTGAAATATATTGCATTATTTTATGGCTGGTCATGACACCTGCGTAAGAGTGTCAAAACCCACATTTATTAAAATGTGTTTTTTTCCCCTGACAAGAAGTTTCCTTTCGTTTAAAAGTTTTTCTTAAATCCTTTGTTGTTGTATTGCATTTCTTTAGTCATGTTTTTTAATCATTTTAAATAACTTGAAGAAAATAGACTTTATGACACTGTCAAGAAGCATTATGACCATCCTGTGTCACTTTACTTGGATTAAGAAAATACACTTTATTACACTGTCAAGAAGCATTATGACCATCAGAATAATGTAAGTTAGATAGGCCTATCACGTACATGCCCTTATATCAGTCAGTCATCAGTCAAAAAGAGGGTGTCCTGCTCCTGAAATCAGTCATCAGCAACAGATCATTGGGGTAGGTGCATGTCTGAGAGCAATGTGTGCGCAATTATAATTTAATATGGTCAATTTCAGAAAAATTGATATAAATACTATTAACAAGTAGGCTATGGTGTAATGGAATGTGTTACCTTGTGTGGTAGGTTTTGTGGGTTTTGACACTCTTATGTAGGTGTCATAACCAGCCATAAAGTATCGCAATATGTCACAACAGGTCTAAAGATATGTCATGACAGTGTTATGACCATATTATGACCATATTATGACCGGTTATGACAAGTTATGTAAACTGTTTTGACTGTCATAACGTGTTATGACGCTAGGTGTTAAGTAAAGTGATACCAATATGGTGGTCCTATTAACAAATGTAAGTAAAGTCATACGACTTCACATGAGAGATTAATCTTTCATTTTATCTCTACTTCTCTTTCAAAAATTAGGCCAGTATATGTTAGAAATGTCTAAACGTAGATTTTGGTGGGCTTAATAGGTACACTTACCCTACCCACAGAAAGCTGAGAACAACAGTAGTTGCTTCCAAAGGATTTTGGATTTTTAAATGTTATCCAATTATTCTTTTTTATATTTTTTTCGCTCATAACAGCAGCAGGCCCCAGCGGAACAGGCCCAGGAGCTGGGCAGACAATTTAATTACAGGAATCAATAGGATAATGCACTTTGCTGTTTGATGAAAAAATAGGACGTTTTGAAACTTCTGAGTGAGGTGACCATCTAATGAATGTTTAGCTCGCATGCGACCAATTACAAATTTAACTCGCACAGCCAATTGAAAGGGTTGCAAAATGCCACTAAATGGTCACAGTCTGGAGTTTTGCCCGTTGACATACTGTAGCTGTATTGTAATCAAAGTTGTAATCAAAGTGTTATAACTAGTGGTCTGATAGGTTGCAGCAAACTACTAGCTAGCATTATCAATCTGTATTAGCCTACCTGAGTGTAGCAGACATGGCGTGTGCCTTATTTGCATCTATGATTTGTTGCCGCCAGATTGCAAATAACACTGAAAAGATCTCAATCTCTCCAAAAACTCTTGTCCTGTCCACTTACTAGTCAGATTTGAGTCACAGAGGTAATTTAGTCTCATCTCGTTAGTTATAGTTTTTCTGTGTCTATTTAGTCAGATCGTCTCGTCAATTGCCACTGAAAAATAGGTGTTTGACAAGTATTTTTGTCACTATTTTAGTTGACAAAATTAACACTGATATGCTGGTATCAGAAGAAAAGTATGTGTGGGGGATTGAATGCAGGCCCATCTCTGTCTCTGTCTCTCTCTGTGTGTGTGTGTGTGTGTGTGTGCGCGGATGCACACATATCTCAGATCACTTAGTGTCTAAAGCCCATTTTCCACCTGAGGCCTAACCCTCTCCCTATGTCCACTCACACCTGCTACCTAGCATAAGCCTGATAGCCTAGCTGACACACGATGTATGCACACTTTTATGCAGACTCATACACTCACACAAGTGCACACTCATGCACACACACATCTCTCTCTGTATCTCGCTCTCTGCATCGCTCTGTCTCGCTCGCTCTCTCTGTCTAACTCTCATCTCTGTCTCGAGCTCTCTGTCTCGCGCTCTCTCTCTGTCTCGCGCTCTCTCTCTGTCTCGCGCTCTCTCTCTGTCTCGCGCTCTCTCTCTGTCTCGCGCTCTCTACTGTCTCCTCGCTCTCGTCTGTCTCGCTAATCTCTCCTGTCTCTGCTCTCTCTGTCTCGCTCTCTCTCTTTTTCCTCCTCTCTCTGTTAGCTCTTCGCTTTCCCCTTTCCTCTCTTTTTTTCTGTTTGCTCTTTCGCCCCTCCGTCCCCTTTTTGTTCTCCCCTTTTTCTCTTTTGTCTCCCTCTCTGTCTGGGTTTCCCCGGCTTCCCCTCTCCTCTGTCTCGCTTCTCTTCTGCCTCCCCCCCTCTTTTCTTCCGCTCCCCTTTGGGTCTCGTTTTTTCTTTCTCCCTCTTCTGTTCCCCCTCTCCCTCGGTCTCGCTTTTCTCTTCTCGTTCCCCTTGGTCTGCTTTGCCCGCTTTCCTCTCTCTGCCCTCGTTTTTGCTCTGCTTTTCTTTTCCCCTTTTCCGCTCTTCTTTTTTCCTCGCTTCTTTTTCTGTCTTCGTCCGCTCTCTCTGTCTCGCTCTCTCTTTTCCGCTCTCCTCGTCTAGTTTTTCCTTCCTTTTTTGCTCTGTCTCGTTTTTTGCCTCGCGGCTTCGGGTTTTTCCCCTTTTGGGGGCTCCCTTTTTGTCTCGCTTTTCTTCTCCCCCTTTTGTCCTGGGCTCTTCTCCCCCCTGTCTCGCTCTTTTCCTCCCCCCTCCCTCTCTCTTTTCTCCTCTCTTGGCTCCCCTCTGTTTTTGGGGTTTTTCCTTCGTTCTCCCTTCTGGCCCCGGTTCCCCCTGTCTCCCCTCACTCTCTCTTTTAGCGTTCTCCCTTCCCCGGCCCCGCTCTCCCCTGTCCCCTCTCTCGTTTGCTCTCTCTTTCTGCTTTTCCCGCTCCCTGCCCTCCCCCGGCTTTTGTCTCTCTTTTTCCTTTCTGCTGTCCTCGCTCTCGTTTTCTCGCTCCCTCTTTCTCGCTCCCCCCTCTGTCTCGCTCTCTCTGTTTGCTTTTTTCCCCCCGATCCTGTTTTATTTTCTTCTTTCCCCCTCTGTCGGGTTGCGCTCTCTTTTGGCTCTTTCGCTCTCTTTTTCTCTCCTTTCCCCTTCTTTTGCTCTCTTTTTTGCTCTCCCCCCCTTTTTGTCTCGCTTTTTTTTCCTCGGGTTTTCCCCTTTCTGCCCGGGCTTTTCTCGCCCCTCTTCTCTCTTCTCCTCCCTCTTTCTGTCCGGTTCCCCCTCCTCTGTCTCCCTCTTTTGCTCCCCTTGTCTGCTCTTCCTCTCTCTCTGTTTTCCGCTCTTTCTGCTCCCTCCCCTCTCCCCCTGCTGTCTCGTTTTCTCGCTGTCCCCTTCTCTCTGTCTGCTCTTTGCTTCTCGGCCCCCGGCTCCGCTCCTCGGTCTCCCTCTCCTGGCCCCTCCTTGTTTTCTCGCTCTCTCTGTCTCGCCTCCCCCCTCTCGGCCTTCTCTGTCTCCCCTTTTCCCCTTCTAGCTCTCTCTGTCTGCCTCGCTCTTTTCCGGCTCTTTCCCGTTTCTCTCGGTTTTCCTCCCCTCTGTCTCCGCTCTTTTCCCTCGCTCCCTCTGTCTCGCTCTCTCTGTCTAGCTTTTCCCCACTCTCTCTGTTTAGCTCTTTCGCTCTTTGTCTCGCTCTCCCTGTCTCCCCTTCTTGGTCCCCTGTGGGGGCTCTCTCGCTCTCCTCCCTTCTGTTTGCTCTCTCCTCTGTCCCCCTTTCTCTGTCTCGTTTTGTTTTCCCCCTTTTTGGCTCTCCCCCGTCTCGTTTTCCTCTTTCTGTTTTCCTCCTTGTCTCCCCCCCCCTCTCTGTTCTCGCTTTGGTCGCTTGTCTCTCTTTTTTGTTTTCGCTCTCCCCCCTGTCCCCCCCTTTTGCCCTCTTTTCCCCTTTTTTTTCCGCTCTCCCTCTCCCCTTGTTGCTCCCCTCTCTCTGTTCTTTCGCTCTCCCCGGCTCCCCCTTCTTTTCCTCTCTTTCTCGTTTTTCCTTTTGCTCTCTTGCTGTTCCATCTCCGTTTTCCCCCTTGTCTCCCTTTTCTCGCTCTCTCGGTCCTTCCCCTCTCTCTGTCTCCTCTCTCTGTTTTCGCTCTTCGCTTTTTGCCCTACTCTTTCGTTCCCCTTTTGTCTCACCCCTCTCGCTCTCTCTGTCCCCTGTCTCCCTCTCTGTCTCGCTCTCCCCCCTTGTCTAGCTCTGTCGCTTTCTCCCCCTCTCTTTTGTCTCCCTTCTGTCTCCCTCTTCCCCCTGCCCCCTCGCCTCTGTCTATCTTTTTCCTAGCTCTCTCTTTTCCGCTCTCCCCCGCTCTCTCTGTCTCGCTCTCCCCGCTTCTCTTTTCGCTCTCTCGGGCTGCTCTTTCCTTCGCTTTCTTCCGGGTTCTCTTCTAGTTCTCGGCTCTTCTGTCTCGCTCTCGTTTGTCTGCTTTTCGCCTTGCTGTTTGGTTCGTCTCTTGTCTCTCGCCGTTTGGGGTTGGGGGGGGGGGGTTTTTTTTTCCCCCCTTTTTTCGGGTTTTGGGGCCTTTTTTTTGGTTTTGTCTTTTTGCCCTGCTTTTTTGTTTTTTTTCTCCCTTCCCCCCGGTCTCGTTTGCCCTCGCTTCCCCTCTTTTCTTCTCGCCCCCTTTTTTCCTTCTCGGCCCCGGGCCCCTCTCTTCTGTTCGCTCTCTGCCCTCGCTCTCTCTCCTGTCCCCCGCTCCCCCTCTTTTTGTCTCGTTTCTTTTTGCTCTTTTCTTTTTACTCTGTTCGTTTCCCCCTTTCCGCTCGCTTTTCTTTTCTAGCCTCACTCTCCTGTCTGGGCTCTTTCGCCCCTCTCTGTCCGCTCTCTCTGTTTTTCCGCTCTCCCCCTTCTCGCTCCTCTGTTTTCGCTCTTCTGCCCTACCCTTCCCACTTTTCCCCTTGTTTTAGCCTCTCGCTCTCTGTCTCGCTCCTCTTCTTCTCTGGTTTTCCCTCTCGGGTTTGGGCCTCTCTCGCTCTCGGTTCTCGCTCTTTCTGTCTTGTTTCCTCCCCTGTCCCCTCTCTGTTCCTTTGTCTCGTTTCTGTCTTCTCTCGGGCCCTCGCTCTCTCTCTGTCCCCCGGGCGGTCTGCTCTTTTCCCCTCGGTTCGCTCTCCCCTCGTTTGCCCTCGCTCTCTCCCCGGTCTCGCTCCCCCTTCTTCGGTTCACTCTCTTGCCTCTTGTCTACTCTGTCGGCTCCCCGCTCCCTCTGTCTAGTTTCTCACTCCCCTCGGGTCAGCTCTCTCGCTCTCCTGTCTCGCTCTCCTGTCCCCGTTTCCCCCTCTCGTTCACTTTTCTAGCTCTGTCGCTCTACCCGTCTCTTGTCTCACTCTCTCGCTCTGGGTTGTCTCACTTCCTCTCCCCCTTTCTCGCTCTTTTGTTCGCTCTTTCGTTTTCCCTGTCTAGCTCTGTCGTCCTCTGTTCACTTTCGCTCTTTTGCCCTCTCTGTCTCGCTCTCTCTTCTCGTCCCTCTGTCAAACTCTGGCTATCCGCTCTCTTGTCCCCCTCTTCTGTCTGCTCTCTTTGCCCTCGCTTTTCGCTCTCTTTTCCCCTCGCTCTTCTGTCCGTTTCCCTTCCTCGCTCTCTCTGTCTCGCTCTCTCTGCCCCTTAGTCTCTCTGTCTCCCCTCTCTCGCTAGCTTTTTTCCCCTCTCGTTTGTTTTCCGGATCGCTCTCCCCTTGTCCTCGCTCTCTTGTCCCCGCTCTCTTTTTTGTCTCGCTCTCTTGTCTCGCCCCCCTCTCTTGTCCCCTCTGTCTTGCGCTCCCCCCCCTCTTTGGGTCTCTCGCCTCTTTTCCGCTCTTTCGTCTTGCTCCCCTCTCTGTCCCCCCTCTCGGTCTCGCTTTGTCTCCCCTTTTCCCCTCTCTCTGTCCCCCCTCTCTCCTCTCCTCTTTCCGCTCTCTCTCCCCCCTGTCTCGCTCTTGTTTCGCTCTCTCTCTCTTCCCGGGCTCTCTCTCCCCGTCTCGCTTTTTGGCTCTCTCTTTTACTCGGGGTCGCCCCCCCTCGCCGCTTTCTCTGTTTTGCTCTACTTCGGTCTACTCTCACGCTCTCTGTCTAGCTCCACTCTCTCTGTTGCTGTCTCGCTCTCTCGCCCCTCGCTCCTCTGTCTAGTTTCTGTGCGGTCTCGACTTTTCCCTGCCCCTCCCCTCTCTTTTGTCTCCCCTCTCTTTTCTCCTCTCTCTGTTCGCTCTCTCTGTCTAATTTTTCCCCTCTGTCTAGCCCCCTTTTGCCCTAGTTCTTTCGCTTTTCTTTTTTCTCGTTCTCGTCTCCCCCGCTCTCCCTCTCGCTCCCCTCTTTTGCTCTCCTGTCTAGCTCTCTCACTCTCTCTGTTTACCTCCCCTCGTCCGTCTCCCCTCTTCTGTTCCCCTGTTTTGGCCCCTCTGTCTTGGCTCTTCGCTTTTGGGTTCCCCGCTCTTTTGGTTTTGCCCTTTTCTCGTCTCCCTTTCTGTCTCCTTTGTCTCCCTTTCTCTTCTCTGCCCTCGTTTTCCCCCTCTCTCTGCCCCTCGCTCTGGGTCCGTTTCCCCCTCTCTTTTGTTCGTTTCTTCTCGCGCCCTCGCTCTCCCCTCCGGGTCTGTTCCCCTCTCTTGCCCTCACTCTTTTTTGTCTCTCTTTCAAAGTTTGCCCCTTCCCCCTCGCCCCATCTTTTCCCTAGTTCACTTTTTCTGTTTTAGCTCTCCCGCTTTTTCTGGTCTCGCTCCCCTCTGTCTCCTTTTTCTGTCCCCACTCTCAGTCTGTGTTTCTTCCTCGCTCTCTCTGTCCACTTTTCCCGCTCCTCTTTTTCCCCTCCCCGCTCTCCTTTCGCTCTCTCGGTTCTCCCCCCTCCTTCGCTCTGTCTACTCGGCGCTCTCTTGTCTAACTCTTCCCCGCTTTCTCTGTCTCCCCGGTCTCGCTCTCTTTTGTCCCCCGGCTCCCTCTGTCAGCTCTGTCGCATCTCGTCTCTCTTTTCCTCGTCCCCCTCTGCCCTCCGCTTTTTGTCTCGCTTCCCCGCTCTCTCTGTTCGCTCTCTCGGGTCTCGCTCCCCGCTTTTCCTCCCCCTCGCTCTCTCTGTCTAGCTCCCCTTCTGCCCTCGCCTCTCTGTCTAGTTTTTCGCCTCGCTTTTTTCTCTCGGTCTCGCTCTCTCTGTCCTCGTCTCTCTGTCTCGCTCTCTCTGTTCGCTCTCTCTTCTCCTTTTCTCTGTCTCCCCTGTCTTGCGCTCTCTGTCTTGGTCTTCGCTCCCTGTCTCGGTCTTTCTGTTTTGCTCTCTCTCTTCTCCCTCTCGGCCCTGGGTTTGCTGGGCCTCTCCTCTTTTCGGGTTCTCGTTTCCTCTCTCTCTCTGTCTCGTTTCCTCCCCTCTTGTCCCCGCTCTCTGTCTCGCTCTCTCTTTTCTGTCTCGCTCTCTCTCTTGTCGGCCCCTTTGTTTCTTGTTTTAGCTCTGTGTCGCCCCCCTCGCTCCTCTTTTGTCACTTTTCACTCTCGCTGTCTACCCTCTCTCGCTCTCCTGTCTCGCTCTCTTGCCCTCATTTTCCCCTCGCCCCTCTCTGTCTCGCCTCTTGTCTAGCCCCTTTTTGGCGCTCTTCGCTCCCCCTTCCTGTCTGCTCTCTCTGTCTACCTTGCCCCAATCTCCTCGCCCCGTTTTTGTTCCTCTCTCGCCTCTTTCTCACCTCTCGCTCCTGTTTTCCCTTCGCTCTCTTTCTCGCCTCGCTGTCTAGCCCTTTGCGTATATGCCCCCTTTTGGTTCCCCTCTTCTTGTCTGCCCCCTGGTTCTCGGTCTCGCTCTCTTTTAGCTCCTCGTTCTTTTGTTCGCTCTTTTCTTTGCCCCCTCTCGGGTCCCCGCTCTCTTTTTGTCTCGCTTTCCCCTTTTCGTCGTCTCCTCTCTCTTGGTCCCCCCTTTTGCTCTCTATTTCTCTCTGGTCGCCTCCGAAAATCCCCCTGTCTCCCTTCCCCTTCCCCCTCCCCCTCTGTCTAGCTCCCCCCGTCTCTCTTGTCCCCCGTCTCTTGTCTCGTCTCGCCCCTCTCTGTCAAAGCTCTATCCGCTCTCTTTTGTCTCGCTCTCTCTGTCCCTGTCTCGCTTTTTTGTCTCACTTTTCTCGTTCTCTATCTGGGGCCTCTCTGTCTAGCTCTGCCCCGCTCTCTCGTTTCTCCCTATCTCTGTCTCCCCCTTTCGCTCTCTCCCTCCTCTTCCCTCTCTCGCTTTCTGTCTACTCTCCGCTCTCTGTCTCACTCTCCCCGCTCTCGTTTTCGCCCCTTCTGTCAGCTCTGTCGCTATTCGCCCCTCTCTCACTCTTTTCGCTCTCTGTCTCGCTCTTCTGTCTCGCTCTCTCTTTCTCACCTCTCGCCCCTCCTTTCTCCTTTTTGCCCTAGTTTCTCTCGCTCTCTCGTCTCGTCCCCCTTTTGTCTCGCTCTCTCTGTCTCGCTCCCCCCGGTTCCCCCCGCTTTCCCCCGGCCCCCCGTCTCTCTCTCGGGTTCTCGCTCTTGTCTCGCTCTTCCTGTTAGTCTGCCGCCCCTCTCGCTCCTTGTTAGATCTCACCCCTTTTCCTGTCTAGCTGTTCGCTCTCTCTGTTCGCTCTCTCGTCTCACTTTTCTCGCTCTCTCTGTTTTCTCACTCTTGCCCCTTCTGTCTCGCTCTTCCCCCCGTCTCTCTGTCCGTCTCTCTTTTTTATCCCCTTGGTGCTCTTAACTCTCCCCGTCTCCCTGTCTCACTTTTCCGCCCCCGTCCACCCCCCCCGCTCCTTTTTTGGATCGGTGCTTTTGCCCCTTTTTTTTTCCCCCCCCCCCCCCCCCCCCCCCCCCCCCCCCCCCCCCCCCCCCCCCCCCCCCCCCCCTCCCCCCCCCCCCCCCCCCCCCCCCCCCCCCCCCCCCCCCCTTTTTTCTCACTCTTCGCTCTCGGGTCTCGCTCTCTCTGCCCCTCGTCTCTCTGTCTCACCTCTTCCCCCCTCGCTCGCTCTTTCTAGCTCTTCGCTCCCCTCGGTCTCGCTCCCTTGTCCGCTCCCCTCTTTTCCCCGGCTCCCCCTTTTCTCGCTCTCTCCTCTCGATGTTCTTGCTCTCTTCCCTGTTCTCGTTCTTTCTTTCCCGCTTTTCTCCTTCCTCTCGGGAAATCCTCGTCACCCCTTGTCAGTTATCTCTCTTTACCCTTGGTCACTCTCTCTTTTCCCTTCCCCCTTCTGTTTTGTTCTCTTGCCTCTCTTTTCTCTTGGGCTCTGCCAGCAGGAGTACTCTGATCTGGGCTTCTGTCTCTCCCCGGGCCCCCAACAGACGTTTGCCTTTTTATGTAAATTAAAAAAAATTTCTTTTTCCATTTTTAAGTCGTTTCGCCCCGATGGGGGTTTGGGGGTTACATGTGTGGGGTTAAAAAAGGTCGGAAAAAGTGGGGGGTTTCGTAGAAAAACCCCCGGGTACAGGGTGTGACTGTAAGTGCATGTTAATTTTTTAAAATTAAAATTTGTGAATTTACAAGGGGTGTGTGTTTGGGTGAAAGACAAATAAGCCCTTGGGGTCAAGCCAACATCCATCACTTGGAACAATGATGCATTGTGGGTATGAACAAATTTTTTGTTTTAAACAGTCCATGATACCCCATTTTTTCTCCCCAAGGGAAAAACCATAGAAAGGTCGGGGGTCTGTCGTGTTTTTGGGCCTTTTCCTGTTTGTGTGGGGGGTTTGTGTGTTGTGCATCACTGAAGTCAAAAGACCCACAATCTCGCTTTTCTAAACCCCCTTTACCACGGGCCCCAATTTCGGGTGTTTTCCCAAAGGCCCGAGGGGATTGTGAGGGGGTTTGGTTGAAAGTGAAAGGTGGTCCCGAAAAGAGAAAGAGTTTGCACCGCCCCCAAAAATCCGGAGCCTGGGGTTTTCCCGTTCTCCCTGATTCTTTAAATTGCACCCACTTTTTTTCCCCAAAGGGCCCAAAATCTTTCCCCTTGTTCGAGGGAAACAAAAAAAAAAAAGGCAGGTGAACTGGCTCGTTTCCCAGAGTTGGGGTTAAAGGGGCCCTAACAAAATATTTTAAAAAATGTAATCTAGAAAATTTAAAGAGAGATGTTTGCCCTACTGATAAATCGAAATCAAACAGGGTGTCTTTTTAGAGATGAATCCGGGCCCTCTATTGGTTGTTTTGAGCCCTAAATTTTCCCCCCCTTGCCCTCCCTTTCTGAGGCCCCTAACCTACCCCCCCTCCCCGCCTTGTTTTGCCCCCCCCAACAACCCGGGGGCCCTGCCTCGATCCCCAAAAAAATAAAAACCCCCAAAAAAGGGCTTACCCCCAAAAAAAAACCCCAAAAAACCCCTCCCTGCCCTTGTTTTCCCAAAAAACACTACCCCCGGCCCGCCTCGGGTTTCCCCTTAAAAACTAAAACCCCTTGCCCTGCCTTGCCCCCAAAAAACACAACCCCCCTGCCTGCCTTAAATGCCCCTAAAAACAAAACCCCCTACCCTGCCTCTGTTTCCCTAACACTACCCCACTCCCCGCCTTGACCCCCCCCCCCCAAAAAAAAAAACCCAAAAAACCCTCCCCTTTTGATCCCCTAAAATAAAAACCCCGGGCCCTTTTCCCCTTGTTTTTGCCCTAACACTACACCCCTGCCCTGCCTCTGATGCCCAAACACTACACCCCTGCCCTGCCTCTGATGCCCTAACACTACACCCCTGCCCTGCCTCTGATGCCCTAACACTACACCCCTGCCCTGCCTCTGATGCCCTAACACTACACCCCTGCCCTGCCTCTGATGCCCTAACACTACACCCCTGCCCTGCCTCTGATGCCACACTACACACTAACACCCCCTGCCCTGCCTCTGATGCCCTAACACTACACCCCTGCCCTGCCTCTGATGCCCTAACACTACACCCCTGCCCTGCCTCTGATGCCCTAACACTACACCCCTGCCCTGCCTCTGATGCCCTAACACTATACAACACCCTGCCCTGCCTCTGATGCCCTAACCACAACACCCCTGCCCTGCTCTGATGCCCTAACACTACACCCCTGCCCGGCCTCTGATCTCTAACACTACACTCCCTGCCTCTATCCCTCCTCACTCCACCCTCCTCCATCCTCGTCTTCCTATCCTCTACTCCTTGCAGAGGGGGGATGGCGTAGATATCGGTAGAGGAGGAGAGCGCATGAGGAGGAGATTTAGTCTGTATCGAGGTCGAGTTCTTCTTTTCGGCTTCTAGATTCTCCTCTCTTCTATTCTTCTCTCTTTTTATCTGCTTCCTCATGCTTCTCTTCTCTCCTCGTTCTCTTCTCTTCTCTCTCTTCTCTTCTCTTCTCTTCTCTTCTCTTCTCTCCACCATGAATGTGCCTGTTATTGCTGTTCCTGCCTCTCCGTCTCCGTTCTCAGTGTCAAAGTAAGAGAAGAAGAAAACGATGGAGAAAATACCCCGAATTAAGTTACAAAAAAAAAAAAAAGTTTTATCCAGAGGTGAGGGAGAGTCTGGTTTGATGAATAACGAAGAGGAAAAGAGCTAAAAACTCACTTCAGATAGATAGACTTGCTCCGTGTGTGTTCTCCCCCTCAGGTAGTTTAGATATGGGGAGAGGAGGAAAGAGAGGGAGGGGGGATATAAACACAGATTTGGAAAATAATGCAAGCTCTCTCTTGTGTTCTCTGAACCCAAACTCTGCCTACCCCCAGACGCCGATTGCTAACGAACGCTAGTGGCGTTTTGCTAACAGCCTAAACAGCACTGTATGCAGGCCTGGGCTGGCTAGGGAGATTGGATAACTTAGTTTTGCTCCCCTGTGTTGATGTGCACCTTCAGTTAGTCCGTGACCTATTGAGGTTGGCCAAGAGAAGCTAGGAGAAGCCTAGTGGGCAGTAAATAGTAGAGAGGGTTTGAGGTGCTCTGTCTTTCTGTCTTTCTCTGTTTCTCTCTCTCTCTCTCTTTCTCTGTCTCTCCCTTTCTGTCTCTCTCTATGGATCTTTGTGTCTCTCTCTCTCTCTCAATTCAATTCAAATGGGCTTTATTTGTCTCTCTCGCTCTCCCTTTCTCTCTCGCTATGGCTCTTTTGTCTCTTAGGGAGGCAGGGTTGAGTAGGGCTGTCACTCAGGTGATCGACTACAGCCACTTGACTTGGCCCATGCAGAAAAGGCCTTTGTCTTGTCAAACAAACACACACACACACACAGGATTGTTCTAGCCTTTGGCGTGTGTGTGATTGCTCAAATCCTTCAACATATGAGTTTGTCCTCTGCTCTTGGATCTTGTGGGAGTGTGTATGACCTTCTGGTGAATGTGATGACTGTCTCTTCCTCCGTCTCTACTAGGCTGGAGAGTAAAAACGCCCCAGCTTACACTACTGGCTACTTTCTAATCCTCCTCTTTTCATCTCTCCCTCCCTGCTCCCTCTCTTCCCTTCTCGTGTCCTCTGCCTCCCTCCTTTCTTTGTATTCCTTTCTCTCCCTGTCCTGCCTCTAACCACCTCTCTCTCTACCCCCTCCATTTCTCTCTCGTCCTCTCTCTTTCTCTCTCCTTCCGTCTATCTCTCTCCCTGCAGAAGTCTTCTGATGCTGCTGCCTCCTCTACCTCTCCCGCCTCGCAGGCTGCTGAGAAGAACAGACAGGAGGTCTGATGTTTTGCCGTCGTGCCACCCGGTGTTAAAAGCTGCTTCTCTGTGCTGATCCTTTCTGTGTGCTGGGGTCTGCTTTGCTGTGGTGCTCTTTCTTGTAATGGTTTTCCAATGCCCCCTCATCACATACACTTACCGGTCAAAAGTTTTAGAACACCTACTCATTCAAAAGTATAGCAGCCTCCATTATTCAACCTCTTTACCACAGCATTGATTTGGGATTGAGATATCTCCTGCCATCCTTACCACACACACATACAACCCCCACACACTACACACTGTCATGCATGCGCACACACACAATGTGTACTTGAGGGGAAAGTAATGTACACTACCGGTCAAAGGTTTTAGAACACCTACTCATTCTACTACTCAAGGGTTTTTCTTTATTTTTACTATTTTCTACATTGTAGAATAATAGTGAAGACATCAAAACTATGAAATAACACATATGGAATCATATAGTAACCAAAAAAGTGTTAAACAAATCAAAATATCAATTTGAGGTCGGGGGATTGTGGAGGCCAGGTCATCTGATGCAGCACTCATCACTCTCCTTCTTGGTAAGGTAGCCCTTACATTGTCCTGTTGAAAAACAAATGATAGTCCCACAAAGCCCAAACCAGATGGGATGGTGTATCGCTGCAGAATGCTATGGTAGCCGTGCTGGTTAAGTGTGCCTTGAATTCTAAATGAATCACTGACAAATCAAATCAAATCAAATTGTATTTGCCACATGCACCGAATACAACAGGTGTAGACATTACCGTGAAATGCTTACTTACAGCCCTTAACCAACAATACATTTATTTTTTTATAAAAAAGTAAAATAAAACGACAACAACAAAAAAGTGTTGAGGGAAAAAAAGAGCAGAATTAAAATAAAATAACAGTAGGGAGGCTATATATACAGGGGGGTACCGGTGCAGAGTCAATGTGCGGGGACACCGGCTAGTTGAGGTAATATGTACATGTGGGTAGAGTTAAAGTGACTATGCATAAATAATTAACAGAGTAGCAGCAGCGTAAAAAGATGGGGTGGGGGTGGGGGGGCAGTGCAAATAGTCCGGGTAGCCATGATTAGCTGTTCAGGAGTCTTATGGCTTGGGGGTAGAAGCTGTTGAGAAGCCTTTTGGACCTAGACTTGGCACTCCGGTACAGCTTGCCGTGTGGTAGCAGAGAGAACAGTCTATGACTAGGGTGGCTGGAGTCTTTGACAATATTGAGGGCCTTCCTCTGACACTGCCTGGTATAGAGGTCCTGGATGCCAAGAAGCTTGGCCCCAGTGATGTACTGGGCCGTACGCACTACCTTCTGTAGTGCCTTGCGGTCGGAGGCCGAGCAGTTGCCATACCAGGCAGTGATGCAACCGATGGTGCAGCTGTAGAACTTTTTGAGGATCTGAGGACAGTGTCACCAGCAAAGCACCCCCACACCATAACACCTCCTCCTCCATGCTTTACGGTGGGAAATACACATACGGAGATCATCCGGTCACCCACACCGCGTCTCACAAAGACACGGCGGTTGGAACCAAAAATCTCAAATTTGGACTCCAGACCAATGTCCATTGCTCGTGTTTCTTGGCCCAAGCAAGTCTCTTCTTCTTATTGGTGTCCTTTAGTAGTGGTTTCTTTGCAGCAATTTGACCATGAAGGCCTGATTCACACAGTCTCCTCTGAACAGTTGATGTTGAGATGTGTCTGTTACTTGAACTCTGTGAAGCATTTATTTGGGCTGCAATTTCTGAGACTGGTAACTCTAATGAACTTATCCTCTGCAACAGAGGTAACTCTGGGTCTTCCATTCCTGTGGCGGTCCTCATGAGAGACAGATTCATCATAGCCCTTGATGGTTTCTGCGACTGCACTTGAAGAAACTTTCAAAGTTCATGAAATGTTCCGTATTGACTGACAAAGTAATGATGGACTGTCGTTTCTCTTTGCTTATTTGAGCTGTTCTTGCCATAATATGGACTTGGTCTTTTACCAAATACGGCTATCTTCTGTATACCTTGACAAAACACAACTGATTGGCTCAAACGCATTAAGAAGGAAAGAAATTCCACAAATTAGCTTTTAAGAAGGCACACCTGTTAATTGAGATGCATTCCAGGTGACTACCTCATGAAGCTAGTTAGAGAATGCCAAGAGTGTGCAAAGCTGTCATCAAGGCAAAGGGTGGCTATTTGAAAAATCTCTAATATATTTAGATTTGTTTAACACTTTTTTGGTTACTACATGATTCCATATGTGTTATTTCATAGTTTTGATGTCTTCACTATTATTCTACAATGTAGAAAATAGTAAAAATAAAGAAAAACCCTTGAATGAGTAGGTGTTCTAAAACCTTTGACCGGTAGTGTACATTACTTTCCCCTCAAGTACACATTGTGTGTGTGCGCATGCATGACAGTGTGTAGTGTGTGTGGGGGTTGTATGTGTGTGTGGTAAGGATGGCAGGAGATATCTCAATCCCAAATCAATGCTGTGGTAAAGAGGTTGAATGGTTGAATAATGGAGGCTGCTATAGCACCAAGGCACCAGCCCTCTGCCCCTCATTAGGCAGACTGACTCACACAGACAACCACCAAGCTTGTATAATAACTCCATATGAGATTTTGATTGCTCATAATGACACTAAATGGTTCCACAAGAGGTCGGCTGAAAGAGAAGGTGTGAATTTCTAAATGGGTCTGTGTGAGCATAGCTGAATCACTTCTCTTGCTGTGCGTCTGTGACTGTGTATTAACGGATAGGGGGTAAACCTATTTTTGGGAGTTTTTCAAACCCTGTTTAATTTGTTTGTGTATGTTTTGTTAGACTGCATGTACCCACTGCATGTCCCTATACAGGTGTAGTCTTGAATGCGTTGAAATTGCTGACCTAACCTCCAGTGTCTCTTTCTTGATAGAAGGAACGAGAGAAGAAGAAGAGGGAGAAGGAGGTAGTGAACAGACCAAGCTCCTCTGAGGTAAAGATAAAGGGAGAGGGAGGAAGTGGGATAGATTTATAGAGACCCTCTGAGGAAAACCATGCTAGACGTGGTTGTGGTGATATGACATGTACAGTGTGTGTGAGCAGGTGTGCATTATGCATATTCTGTCACAGTAGTTTGGGGTCATGGTAAGTCACATGTGTGTGTGTGTGTGTTTATGTGCGCGCTGACTCATGCATGCTTGTGGAGCTTTTTGAATTCTGAGTGAGTGGCATTAGGACTTGGTGAGAAATGCAGATTTAGTGGCGTGTGTGTGCGTATTCTGGGTCATAGTTAGTTATGTGAATAATTCCATGGCTGTGGAATAGGGTAGTGTGTCAGGGTTTATACAGTGATGATGGGGCTGGCTGCCCACAGGGAATAACACACCCACAAAGACACTTCTGTACTGTACCCAGGTTATACTGAACACTACCCATACTGAACACACACTGAACATTCCTTAGTTCTGTTGCTGAACATCCACTACTCAACACACACTGAACAAAGCCTGAACACTGCTCATAGTCTTAACTGAACCCTTACTGAACATAAACTACTCTTACAGAACATGGAACATCCAGTCCTCTTACTGCAGACACAGGGAACTAAATCCTACCTTCAGTTCCATATTTGTGACTCAGAAAGTCAAAACGACTTACTGAACACACACTGAGTAATCCAATAGTTTTACTGAGCACACACCAGCTAGCCACAGTTCTATTTGAACACTTTTAATGATGCCAGAGTGAGTGACCCGGCGAGTGTGTCGTTTTCTGACCCCACCCGACCCTGTCAGAGCCCCAGACTCAAGGCAAAGCATGGTAGGAATCAGAAAGTGGAAGAATGTGCCCTCTGTGCTGACCTGCAGTCTGAGAGCAGATTGATTGAAGTGTGTTTGTGTGGGCGGGCGTGCGTGCGGGATCCTGTGTGTGTGTTCTCATGCGTGTGTGTGCACCGCTGTGTGTGTGTCAGTCTATGTGATGCATGTATGACGAAGTGTGTGTTGTGTATTTGCAGTTCACTTGCTCATCTCTGTTCCTCACTTCTGCTTATCAGCTGGGCTCCAGCTGTCGATGGGACCCAGTGTCAAGGAGATAGTTGTGTGTGTGAGGCCATTGTAGGCACATTTCTATACGTGTGTGTGTGCTTGTGTGTTTCTTTGCGTATACTCTATATGCGCTCAAGGGTGTGGGTGTGTGTGTGTGTGTGTGTGTGCTAACATGCTGAAAGCTTGTTAATCTCAGAGAGGATAGCAGAAGAAAACATGCTGACAGCCTGGCTTCTCTCTCTCTCTCTCCTCTCTCTCTCTCTCTCTCTCTCTCTCTCTCTCTCTCTCTCTCTCTCTCTCTCTCTCTCTCTCTCTCTCTCTCTCTCTCTCTCTCTCTCTCTCTCTCTCTCTCTCTCTGAGAAGTAAAAATAACACACTCGCTCTCTAAATGGTTGCATACACACGCACTAATGGTCCTCACTCTCACACTGAATCCGGTTATACAACACTCCAGCAGGGTATAGGAGGATGGGGGAAGGAGGGGGGCTTTTAGAATAAGCAGCAGGAGTTCAAGGTAAAGGAGGATGGAGGGAGGCGGTGTGTCTTAGAGATGGGACTTAGAAACAGCTTTATGCTGCTTTTAAAAATGAATTCATATGCAGTCATATCGCTACACACTGCATGGCATTTCACACCATCACATGAAGCACTGGATATGTATGTGAATCTGTCAATCAATCTACCAATCAATCAATCACACACAAATTATGTTTAAAGCTACCTCTGTTCCATAGCTAACCCTAAAGGTACATCACAATATTAACATAGACACTTCACAATGCAAGTGCCATCATCTCACATTTGAATATAACCTACATATTTGTTGATGTAGCCGCTAGGCATATCATGTGTTTTCAGACAGATAAAGTATGTGTAGATCCTATGCATTGCACTATATCCCATGTATCCTGCAGCTGTAAATATAGCCTACTTAATGCCCTTGAGTATAGAGGCCTAGTCCACTCAGCCGTCCCAAGCCATACCGACTAGCCTAACTCGGTATTTTAGATGATTCAGAGATGGTGGCAAGATATGGTATAATTAAGCAATAAGGCCAGAAGGGGTGTGCTATATGGCCAATATATCACAGCTAAGGGCTGTTCTTATGCACGACGCAACGTGGAGTGCCTGGATACAGCCCTTAGCCGTGGTATATTGGCCATATACCACAAACTCCTGAGGTGTCTTATTGCTATTATAAACTGCTTAACAACAGAATTAGAGCAGTAACAATAATGTTTTGTCATACCCGTGGTATATGGTCTGATATACCACAGCTGTCATCCAATCAGCATTCAGGGCTCGAACCACCCAGTTTATAATCGATGTTATGAGATATGGGTGCAGTGACATCCCTGACTATGCTGTTCTCATGAGTTGCACAGTCTGGGGTTTAGATGCTTTTCTATTAGGTAGCCCTGGCAGATAGATACTAGATAATGTTTTGATGTGGTGATCCAGTAGATAAGACTGCATAAACCTAGGCCCAGCTGTATAGACTGGGTAATGAATAACATCTGGAAGCTGTTTGGTAACTTATCTACATCCTTCTGCATCTGGCAGCCTACCGAGAAGGATTATCATTAAGACTCTCCCTTCGCTATTGAAGGCTGGGTAAGCTGTGGCGTTCTCACCACACACACACACACACACACACACACACACACACACACACACACACATTCAACACACATTCAACACACGTGTCACTCTTTCTTTTCCATCTCTCCATCCCACCCACTCTTCCTCACCCCTCTCATCTTTCTCCCCTTCCTTTTCTCGCTCCATCTGTACTCTCTTCCGCCCTCCTTTCTCTATCTCTCTCTATCACCCTCCCCCACCTCTCTCTCTGTATGTCCACTGCCTGTGGGCTGTAATTAAGCTCTAGCCATGATTCTGTCCTAGCAGCATCTGCTGGCTTCTCTCTCTGCCCTCTCTCATTGGCTGAACTGGCTGAGTGCAAAGCCAGTGTGACACCTGCAGTGAGTATGCATGTGCGTGTGATAGTGTGTGTAACGTGAGGGAGGGAGGAGGGGTGGTGAGGAGGTGGGTTTTATTGGGAGGGGGAAGGGTACAGAGAGAGGGAGTGATGAGAGGGACCAAATGTACACACGCACACTACACTGCAGTAGCATGTTGAGGTAGGAGCATATACTGCAGTAGCATGTTGAGGTAGGAGCATATACTGCAGTAGCATGTTGAGGTAGGAGCAGATACTGCAGTAGCATGTTGAGGTAGGAGCATATACTGCAGTGGCGTGATTTTTAGGTGATACACACACACACAGGTGTGTTGCCTTGGGCATAGACAGCCTGTGGGGTAGTGGGTGGTAGCATGTAGTCCCTCTATCTCTCCTTTCCACTCAATCTATCACTCACAAGCTTTTCTGTTCTTTATCAGTTTCTGTCTCGCTGTCTCTCTCCCTTTCTTCCTCCTCCCTCTCTCTCTCTCTCGCTCCCTCCTCCCCATCTCTCTTACTCTCTCTGTTTCTCTCCCCCTCACCAAACAGCAAGAAGTCTCCCTCCCATCGGAGTGGAAAGCGTATGTTTTCTTTTTCTTTTCAGGCCATGAATAAAATATCAAAGGAGAACAAGTGATGTTTCCTGCATAGGAAGTTGCGGTGTGGTCTTTTGTGTGTGTGTGTGACAGCCACTGTAACAGTCTGCGGATTTAGGGGTACTTTATCAGGGAGAGAGGGGCACAGACATCTGGACGGGGATGGGCTCTGGGAGGGAGATGGGATACAACACACACAGAGAGAGACGGACTTCACATACATGCTACACCATGTGCCATCTCTGGTCGATGGGAGTTAGTTTGAGCAAATGGTGTGAAGGGCGCTCTAAGGAGCGGTATCCTCTGACTAACAGCATACCCTCTTGCATGCGTACACACACACACACACACACACACACAGGCAACCCAACGAGTAGCATCCTGTGACTAACAACTGCCTCCCCGCCTCACACACAGAGGCAGCCCTCTTCTCGCAGTGGGGGGGTTAGCAGGCCGTGGATCGATAGCGTAGCCACAGGGAGGCTAATCAATAGCCTGGATTGACACTGCTGGAGTAGGAGGATCAGCTAAGACGGTTTCCCAACCCCCAGTCCCCCACTATATCTCGAATGCTCACAACGTTTTTTAAAAATCGGAATTTCCAGTGTGTATGTGTGAGTGGTCCATCCACAATCAGCTCAGCATTGACCTCAATTGGTCTTTGACTGATGACTGACTCAAACTGCATTTGCTCTGTTTCCGTGAAGCCAAGAGATAAGCATTTCTAAAGCCTTTTGTGTAAAAACTCCTAATTAAAACTTTATCGCTCGCAGACAGACAGGGAGCGAAAGACCACATATCGCCCTTTGTGCTAGCGCTGAAGTTAGTATTAGCGGAGATAGCATCTCTCTCTCACTCACACTCACACACACACACACACACACAGTATTGCAATATACAAACACAGACACACACACACACAGCGTCGCAATACAGACACACTCACAGTACACACACACACCAAATAGTCTCTAAATCGGGGTTGTACTAACGTTTTTCATGACCCCCCTCTGTGCGGTTGAACTGGGATTGGGTGTAAAAAGCCATCAATCCAATTACTTTATGCAAAGTGACCAAGTGGTGTTTTATAATAAGAACAAAATAGGAAAACAGGGCTGTGTTCACTAGCAGTGCTCTGAGCATATCACGTAGCCTAGTGGTTAGTGCGTTGTGCCAGTAACCAAAAGGTTGCTAGTTCGAATCCATGAGCCCAGAAGGTGGAAAGAAATCTGTCGATCTGCCCTTGAGCAAGGCACTTGCTCCTAATTGTGCGTCCTCAATAATGGCTTATCCGTGGCCGTGACCCCACTCTCCAAGGGTGTCTCGGGAAGTTGGGATATACAAAAACACATTTTTCAATTCACACCTCACACTTGATGTCGGTCTTTGATGTAGGAATAGCCAAAAGATGGAGAGAGAGGTAGCTTTAGTGTGAGATCACTCCCACTGTTTCTGAATGGTCCTCTCATCAGCTCTGAGTGTGCACTGTGTGAGTGTGCACTGTGTGAGTGTGCACTGTGTGAGTGTGCACTGTGTGTGTGTGCACTGTGTGTGTGTGTGTGCACTGTGTGTGTGTGTGTGCACTGTGTGTGTGTGCACTGTGTGTGTGTGCACTGTGTGTGTGTGCACTGTGTGTGTGTGCACTGTGTGTGTGTGCACTGTGTGTGTGTGTGCACTGTGTGTGTGTGTGACGTCACGCATCAACTCCCAAACACTGGCCCTGACCTTTCCTCAACAATATAGTAGACTCCAGAGGGCGTGAAAATGGTGTGTGTGCGCGCGATTCCTGCAGATCTGCGGCTCTAACTAAGGGACTTTTCCCTGACTGTCAGATGAATTTAGCTCTAGAAGAAAGACTCCTGTGTGGCAGGCAGCTTAGGATCTTCCCTATGTGACAAAACCTCTTAGAGAAGATGTGTGTGTGTGTGTGTGTGTGTGTGTGTTGAGCATCAGACTGTCAGAGGCTGTTAAAGTCCGTCAGGCTGCAGCGGTTCTGCACCATTCACCACAGTAACACTCCGTCACCCCCAAATTCCACTACACACACACAAACATCAAACAACCAACACGCCCAGCCCAGAGAGACATTGCAGAAGCCCTGGATTTGATGAATAATGGTTGTGTTGTGGTTCAGGTGTGTTCCAAAATAGGTTTCTAGTAAGGCCATGGTTTTGAAAGCTATTTTGTGTTTCAACTTTAGCTTCGATATAATATACTGTACAGCTCTGGAAAAAAGTAAGAGACCACTGCAAAATTATCAGTTTCTCTGGTTTTACTATTTATAGGTATGTGTTTGGGTAAAAATAACATTTTTGTTTTATTCTATAAACCACTGACAACATTTCTCCCAAATTCCAAATAAAAATATTGTCATTTAGAGCATTTATTTGCAGAAAATGACAACTGGTCAAAATAACAAAAAAGATGCAGTGTTGTCAGACCTCGAATAATGCAAAGAAAATAAGTTCATGTTCATTTTTAAACAACACAATACTAATGTTTTAACTTAAGAAGAGTTCAGAAATCAATATTTGGTGGAATAACCCTGATTTTCAATCACAGCTTTCATGCGTCTTGGCATGCTCTCCACCAGTATTTCACATTGATGTTGGGTGACTTTATGCCATTCCTGGCGCAAAAATTCAAGCAGCTTTGTTTGATGGCTTGTGACCATCCATCTTCCTCTTGATCACATTCCAGAAGTTTTCAATGGGGTTCAGGTCTGGAGATTGGGCTGGCCATGACAGGGTCTTGATCTGGTGGTCCTCCATCCACACCTTGATTGACCTGGCTGTGTGGCATGGCGCATTGTCCTGCTGGAAAAACTAATCCTCAGAGTTGTGGAACAATGTCAGGCAAAAGTAAGCAAGTTTTCTTCCAGGACAACCTTGTACGTGGCTTGTTTCATGCGTCCTTCACAAAGACAAATCTGCCCGATTCCAGCCTTGCTGAAGCACCCCCAGATCATCACCGATCCTCCACCAAATTTCACAGTGGGTGCGAGACACTGTGGCTTGTAGGCCTCTCCAGGTCTACGTCTAACCATTAGACGACCAGGTGTTGGGCAAAGCTGAAAATTTAACTCATCAGAGAAGATGACCTTACTCCAGTCCTCTACGGTCCAATCCTTATGGTCTTTTGCAAACCTCAGCCTGGCTCTTCTTTGCTTCTCATTGATGAAGGGCTTTTTTCTAGCTTTGCACGACTTCAGCCCTGCCCCTAGGAGCCTGTTTCGAACCGTCCTCGCCGTGCACTTCACCCCAGCTGCCGTTTGCCATTATTTTTGTAGGTCACTTGATGTCATCCTACAGTTGAGTGACATTCGAATGAGTTGGCGGTCATCCTCGTCAGTAGTCGTTTTCGCCCTCTGCCGGTCTGTAGCTTTGTTGTCCCCAATGTCTGCTGCTTGACCTTGTTCTTATGAACCGCCGTCTTTTACATTTTAAGGATGGAAGCAACCTGACGCTCACTGTATCCCTCTGCCAGTAAAGCCAGAATTTAACCCTTCTTTTCCTCACTCAAAACTTTCCTTTTCAACTCTTTTGGCATGGTCAATAGTTCTTTTTTGATTAATATTACTTTTGAGGTCCTATTAGCACAGTTTTTTTCCATCCAGCTGGTCCTATTGCAAGAGGATAGTGATGACCACAGCAGTGGTTTTTATACTTTTCCTCGTTAAATAAGATTTGGTTCAGGTGATCACCTAATCAGTACCTAATTCAGTAAAATGAGGTGTGCCTGTGTTGGAATTCAACAGACACTGGAATGGAATGGCTGTCATACATATAGAGATGCTGATTTTAAGAAAAATTTGCAGTGGGCTCTTAATTTTTTCCAGAGCTGTATATGGTGTTGCTATGGAGCTGTGTGGACTTCTTTTGATGATGGCTTAATATATCTTACGTTGAAGCTTCAGTGTCAGTGCTCTCCTATTTCCTAATGCCCTTTGTTGCCATTTAGTTTTACTAAAGAGCATTTTAAAGTCGTAAAGTCTCTTCCCTTTCTCTATTTGTCTCTCCATTCCGGGGCTGTCTTGGCACACATCTCCAGACAGTGGCAGCGTTATTATTCTCTTTTGTAATGTTAATAAGGTAGCTGTCAGGCTGGCTGGTGACATCCTTGTGTGACAGGCAGCTAGCGGGGCCAGACTCCCAGACTATTTGTTTATCTCCTGCTAGAGCTTTTTTTTCCCAAGATGAGGAGTTTCCCAGTATCAGGGATCTGTGTACACAGCTTCTTCTCCACTGTGATGGTAGTGTGTAGGGTTTGGTCGTCTTGGTTGGTTTGTTTAGGCTCTCTAGCGCATGGAGGTTTGCTGTTCTTTCCTAGTCCGTAGTATATTGATTTCTGCTGGTATGTTTTTGGTTGGGTTAGTTTGTGCTGTTCTTTGCTAGAACAACATTTCGGTCTATGTCTGCTTTTTAGCTTTGTGTAGACTGTGGACGTTTACCTTGTGGGCTTTTCCTGCTTTTGACTGTACTCCTACTTGGTATGCAGTTCTGAGCTGCTCTGCTGTAGGTGTGAAGGTGATGATAGTGGATGTGGAAGAGCGTGTTTAGCTGTTGATTACAATGCTCACTTTGTTTGCCTGGTGTTGCTGGAGTTTAATCGTTCCCTGGCCTCACCTCAGATTAGGAATCCACTGTCAACAACAACTAGGCCTGGTCCTGAGAGTCTAATTGCCAATCACAAATGAGAGCCAGTCCTTACATCCGATCACAATTTAGAGCCATCCCTGATAACCAATCAATAACTAGAGCCAGTCCTTACATCCAGTCACAATCTAGAGCCAGCCCTGAGATCCAATCACCAACTAGAATCAGCGGTGAAGGCCAATTACAATCGGTCATTCCCGATTCCTAGAGATGTGAACCGTTTATTTGAGATGACATTTGCCAAGTGTGTCTGTGTTTCAGAATGACTACTGTAGGCCTTTCTCTAGCGCAAAGGTCCAATGCAGCTGTTTTTATCTCAATATCAAATAATTTCTGGGTAACAATTAAGTATCTTATTGTGATTGTTTCTTTTTCACCATTTAAATAGAAAACACAAATAGCTTATTAGCAAAGAGCAATTTCTCAACCAAGAATTTTGCTAGGACTGTCTGGGAGTGGTCTGAGTAGGGAGGGGAAAACAGAAAACTGGCTGTTATTGGCAGAGGTTTGTAACTCTCTTTCTTAATGGTCTATTAACTAATTTACCGCCTGGTGATGTCATCAGGCAGGCCAAAACTTCATCCCACCAAAACAGGCTGACATTTCAGTCTTTTAAAACAGCTCTTGCACTAAAAGGGCAGTATCATCAATTTCACAGTATTAATCCAACCTCACAGTGTGACTATATCCATCTATATATATATATATATATATACATACACAGTGGGGGAAAAAAGTATTTAGTCAGCCACCAATTGTGCAAGTTCTCCCACTTAAAAAGATGAGAGGCCTGTAATTGTCATCATAGGTACACGTCAACTATGACAGACAAAATGAGAAGAAAAAAAGTCCAGAAAATCACATTGTAGGATTTTTTATGAATTTATTTGCAAATTATGGTGGAAAATAAGTATTTGGTCAATAACAAAAGTTTCTCAATACTTTGTTATATACCCTTTGTTGGCAATGACACAGGTCAAACGTTTTCTGTAAGTCTTCACAAGGTTTTCACACACACTTGCTGGTATTTTGGCCCATTCCTCCATCCAGATCTCTTCTAGAGCAGTGATGTTTTGGGGCTGTCGCTGGGCAACACGGACTTTCAACTCCCTCCAAAGATTTTCTATGGGGTTGAGATCTGGAGACTGGCTAGGCCACTCCAGGACCTTGAAATGCTTCTTACGAAGCCACTCTTTCGTTGCCCGGGCGGTGTGTTTGGGATCATTGTCATGCTGAAAGACCCAGCCACGTTTCATCTTCAATGCCCTTGCTGATGGAAGGAGGTTTTCACTCAAAATCTCACGATACATGGCCCCATTCATTCTTTCCTTTACACGGATCAGTCGTCCTGGTCCCTTTGCAGAAAAACAGCCCCAAAGCATGATGTTTCCACCCCCATGCTTCACAGTAGGTATGGTGTTCTTTGGATGCAACTCAGCATTCTTTGTCCTCCAAACACGACGAGTTGAGTTTTTACCAAAAAGTTATATTTTGGTTTCATCTGACCATATGACATTCTCCCAATCCTCTTCTGGATCATCCAAATGCACTCTAGCAAACTTCAGACGGGCCTGGACATGTACTGGCTTAAGCAGGGGGACACGTCTGGCACTGCAGGATTTGAGTCCCTGGCGGCGTAGTGTGTTACTGATGATAGGCTTTGTTACTTTGGTCCCAGCTCTCTGCAGGTCATTCACTAAGTCCCCCTGTGTGGTTCTGGGATTTTTGCTCACCGTTCTTGTGATCATTTTGACCCCACGGGGTGAGATCTTGCGTGGAGCCCCAGATCGAGGGAGATTATCAGTGGTCTTGTATGTCTTCCATTTCCTAATAATTGCTCCCACAGTTGATTTCTTCAAACCAAGCTGCTTACCTATTGCAGATTCAGTCTTCCCAGCCTGGTGCAGGTCTACAATTTTGTTTCTGGTGTCCTTTGACAGCTCTTTGGTCTTGGCCATAGTGGAGTTTGCAGTGTGACTGTTTGAGGTTGTGAACAGGTGTCTTTTATACTGATAACAAGTTCAAACAGGTGCCATTAATACAGGTAACGAGTGGAGGACAGAGGAGCCTCTTAAAGAAGAAGTTACAGGTCTGTGAGAGCCAGAAATCTTGCTTGTTTGTAGGTGACCAAATACTTATTTTCCACCATAATTTGCAAATAAATTCATAAAAAATCCTACAATGTGATTTTCTGGATTTTTTTTCCTCAATTTGTCTGTCATAGTTGACGTGTACCTATGATGAAAATTACAGGCCTCTCATCTTTTTAAGTGGGAGAACTTGCACAATTGGTGGCTGACTAAATACTTATTTCCCCACTGTGTATATATATATATAGCTGTGGAAAAAATTAAGAGCCCACTGCAAATTTGTCTTAAATCAGCATCTCTACATGTATGACAGCCATTCCATTCCAGTGTCTGTTGAATTCCAACACAGGCACACCTCATTCTGCTGAATTAGGTACTGATTAGGTGATCACCTGAACCAAATCTTATTTAATGAGGAAAAGTATAAAAACCACTTCTGTGGTCATCACTATCCTCTTGCAATAGGACCAGCTGGATGGTAAAAACAGTGCTAATAGTATCTCTCAAAAAATAACTATTGACCATGCCAAAAGAGTTTTGAGTGAGGAAAAGAAGGGTTCAATTCTGGCTTTACTGGCAGAGGGATACAGTGAGCGTCAGGTTGCTTCCATCCTTAAAATTTAAAAGACGGCGGTTCATAAGAACAAGGTCAAGCAGCAGACATTGGGGACAACAAAGCTACAGACCGGCAGAGGGCGAAAACGACTACTGACGAGGATGACCGCCAACTCATTCGAATGTCACTCAACTGTAGGATGACATCAAGTGACCTACAAAAATAATGGCAAACGGCAGCTGGAGTGAAGTGCACGGCGAGGACGGTTCGAAACAGGCTCCTAGGGGCAGGGCTGAAGTCGTGCAAAGCTAGAAAAAAGCCCTTCATCAATGAGAAGCAAAGAAGAGCCAGGCTGAGGTTTGCAAAAGACCATAAGGATTGGACCGTAGAGGACTGGAGTAAGGTCATCTTCTCTGATGAGTCCAATTTTCAGCTTTGCCCAACACCTGGTCGTCTAATGGTTAGACGTAGACCTGGAGAGGCCTACAAGCCACAGTGTCTCGCACCCACTGTGAAATTTGGTGGAGGATCGGTGATGATCTGGGGGTGCTTCAGCAAGGCTGGAATCGGGCAGTTTTGTATTTGTGAAGGACGCATGGAACAAGCCACGTACAAGGTTGTCCTGGAAGAAAACTTGCTTCCTTTTGCTCTGACATTGTTCCACAACTCTGAGGATTAGATTTTCCAGCAGGACAATGCGCCATGCCACACAGCCAGGTCAATCAAGGTGTGGATGGAGGACCACATGGCCAGCCCAATCTCCAGACCTGAACCACATTCAAAACTTCTGGAATGTGATTGTCAATAGCCATCAAACAAAGCTGAGCTGCTTGAATTTTTGCGCCAGGAGTGGCATAAAGTCACCCAACATCATTGTGAAAGACTGGTGGAGAGCATGCCAAGACGCATGAAAGCTGTGATTGAAAATCAGGGTTATTCCACCAAATATTGATTTCTGAACTCTTCTTAAGTTAAAACATTAGTATTGTGTTGTTTAAAAATGAACATGAACTTATTTTCTTTGCATTATTCGAGGTCTGACAACACTGCATCTTTTTTGTTATTTTGACCAGTTGTCATTTTCTGCAAATAAATGCTCTAAATGACAATATTTTGGGGGGGAATTTAGGAGAAATGTTGTCAGTAGTTTATAGAATAAAACAAACATTTTATTTTTACCCAAACACATACAGTGAGGGGGAAAAAAGTATTTGATCCCCTGGTGATTTTGTACGTTTACCCACTGACAAAGAAATGATCTGTCTATAATTTTAATGGTAGGTTTATTTGAACAGTGAGAGACAGAATAACAACAAAAAAATCCAGAAAAACGCATGTCAAAATTGTTATGAATTGATTTGCATTTTAATAAGGGAAATAAGTATTTGACCCCCTCTGAATCCGAAAGATTTCTGGCTCCCAGGTGTCTTTTATACAGGTAACGAGCTGAGATTAGGAGCACTCCTAATCTCAGCTTGTTACCTGTATAAAAGACACCTGTCCACAGAAGCAATCAATCAATCAGATTCCAAACTCTCCACCATGGCCAAGACCAAAGAGCTCTCCAAGGATGTCAGGGACAAGATTGTAGACCTACACAAGGCTGGAATGGGCTACAAGACCATCGCCAAGCAGCTTGGTGAGAAGGTGACAACAGTTGGTGCGATTATTCGCAAATGGAAGAAACACAAAAGAACTGTCAATCTCCCTCGGCCTGGGGCTCCATGCAAGATCTCACCTCGTGGAGTTGCGATGATCATGAGAACGGTGTCAGAACTACACGGGAGGATCTTGTCAATGATCTCAAGGCAGCTAGGACCATAGTCACCAAGAAAACAATTGGTAACACGCTACGCCGTGAAGGATTGAAATCCTGCAGCGCCCGCAAGATCCCCCTGCTCAAGAAAGCACATATACAGGCCCGTCTGAAGTTTGCCAATGAACATCTGAATGATTCAGAGGAGAACTGGGTGAAAGTGTTGTGGTCAGATGCAGTGGCGGCTCCTGAAAAAATTCTAAGGGGGGGCAATTATTCTGATGATTTAGGTGACCTACACACATTTTTAAAAAGATATGTCCAGCAGCAACATGAAGACAGGGGCAGCATATAAATCAATACCAGAAGCATTTATTGACTGATCTCAAAAGTGTTGGCTTACAAAAGCAAAATAAGTTATCACAGTAAATATAATCAAGGGTGTTCTTTCACATTCCTCAACACTGCATAAACAATATGCATTTCCATAAAACACCTCATCTAATTGTGCCACAAAGTTGACAAGTCCAAGAAAAATACCAGGGTTGGTGAAGCCCTCAGTTTCATCTTTGCCTCGCAAAGCTAACTCAAACACTCCGCAAAACTTCACACACTGGATTAGCCGGCTGAGGATGTGGCGGTTCTTGCTAACCTCATCGTTGTGGCGGCGGACAGCTAGCCTGTATCCCTCATCCAGTTGAGTGGCAATGTTCACTCTCCCCAAAGCAGACAATCTCAAACAGCTATCCATGTGGGTCTTTGACAGCTCATGTTTCTTAATCTTTTCTGAAAGATGGTGCATGTCCGTTACACCAGTCGCTGTCCAAGCGGTGCTGTCTGCCGTGCCGCCTTCAGGGTGAAAGAGTAAGCAGGGGTAGCAGAAGACTGCATTAGCTACATCGCAGCCTGCTAGCCAGGTTTTTCGTTCGTACCAATTTTTGGAAAATCCTCGGGTGTAGGACTTTCCCCCTTTAGTAGAAACCTGTTGAATTATTAAATTTGGTCTGGGAGGTCCTAATTGTTTCGTTGCCAATTTATCTTGATTTGTTCACCGACAAAAAGGAACTTCTTTCAAAGAGACAATCGAGTTGCACTGAACGCTAGCCATCTTGACAGTAGTACGTGAATTGATTGACGCTGCTACCCGCTCTTTTCTTAGTTACGTTCATGGTTATGTTACGTATGACGAAAGCGCGTAAGTGCAAGCCCTCCCGGAACCCATAGAGATTGTATTGAAAGCTCTGATATTTGAAAAAAAAAGATTTTACATGAGAGTCTATGAGAGACTTCTGGGGCGATTTTCAACCTGACTGAAATCGCCCCAAAAGGGGCGGGGCCATTTGAAGCACGACTTTAGCCTGATTGGACATTTAGTGGCAGATCAGACGTCTAGATTAGAACACTGATAACTACTGTTGCCGTGATATAATTGATTAGGAAAAAAATCCCTTCCTTTTCCCGTTTGGCAGTGCGTCGCCCATATCGCCCTAATGAACACACCGCCCCTGGTCAGATGAGACCAAAATCGAGCTCTTTGGCATCAACTCAACTCGCCGTGTTTGGAGGAGTAGGAATGCTGCCTATGATCCCAAGAACACCATCCCCACCGTCAAACATGGAGGTTGAAACATTATGCTTTGGGGTGTTTTTCTGCTAAGGGGACAGGACAACTTCACCGCATCAAAGGGACGATGGATGGGGCCATGTACCCTCAAATCTTGGGTGAGAACCTCCTTCCCTAAGCCAGGGCATTGAAAATGAGTCATGGATGGGTATTTCGGCATGACAATGACCCAAAACACACGTCCAAGGCAAAAAAGGAGTGGCTCAAGAAGAAGCACATTAAAAGGTCCTGGAGTGGCCTAGCCAGTCTCCAGACCTTAATCCCATAGAAAATCTGTTGAGGGAGCTGAAGGTTCGAGTTGCCAAACGTCAGCCTCGAAACCTTAATGACTTGGAGAAGATCTGCAAAGAGGAGTGGGACAAAATCCCTCCTGAGATGTGAGCAAACCTGGTGGCCAACTACAAGAAACGTCTGACCTCTGTGATTGCCAACAAGGGTTTTGCCACCAAGTAATAAGTCATGTTTTGCAGAGGGGTCAAATACTTATTTCCCTCATTAAAATGCAAATCAATTTATAACATTTTTGACATGCGTTTTTCTGGATTTTTTTGTTGTTATTCTGTCTCTCACTGTTCAAATAAACCTACCATTAAAATTATAGACTGATCTTGTCTTTGTCAGTGGGCAAACATACAAAATCAGCAGGGGATCAAATACCTTCTTCCCACACTGTATATATAGTTGAAATCGGAAGTTTACATACACCTTAGCCAAATACATTTCTACTCAGTTTTTCACAATTCCTGACATTTAACCCTAGTAAAAATGCCCTGTCTTAGGTCAGTTAGGATCACCACTTTATTTTAAGAATGTGAAATGTCAGAATAATGGTAGAGAGAATGATTTATTTCAGCTTTTATTTCTTTCATCACATTCCCAGTGGGTCAGAAGTTTACATACACTCAATTAGTATTTGGTAGCATTGCCTTTAAATTGTTTAATTTGGGTCAAACGTTTCCCATAATAAGTTGGGTGAATTTTGGCCCATTCCTCCTGACAGAGCTGGTGTTACTGAGTCAGGTTTGTAGGCCTCCTTGCTCGCACACGCTTTTTCAGTTCTGCCCACACATTTTCTATAGGATTGAGGTCAGGGCTTGTGATGGCCACTCCAATACCTTGACTTTGTTGTCCTTAAGCCATTTTTCCACAACTTTGGAAGTATGTTTGGGGTCATTGTCCATTTGGAAGACCCATTTGCGACCAAGCTTTAACTTCCTGACTGATGTCTTGAGATGTTGCTTCAATATATCCACATAATTTTCCTTCCTCATGATGCCATCTATTTTGTGAAGTGCACCAGGCCCTCCTTCAGCAAAGCACCCCCACAGCATGATGCTGCCACCCCCGTGCTTCACAGTTGGGATGGTGTTCTTCGGCTTGCAAACATTCCCCTTTTTCCTCCAAACATAACAATGGTCATTATGGCCAAACAGTTCTATTTTTGTTTCATCAGACCAGAGGATATTTCTCCAAAAAGTACGATCTTTGTCCCCATGTGCAGTTGCAAACTGTAGTCTGGCTTTTTAATGGCGGTTTTGGAGCAGTGGCTTCTTCCTTGCTGAGCGGCCATTCAGGTTATGTCGATATAGGACTCATTTTACTGTGATATAGATATTTTTTACCTGTTTCCTCCAGCATCTTCACAAGGTCCTTTGCTGTTGTTCTGGGATTGATTTGCACTTTTCGCACCAAAGTACGTTCATCTCTAGGAGACAGAACGCGTCTCCTTCCTGAGCGGTATGACGGCTCCGTGGTCCCATGGTGTTTATACTTACATACTATTTTTTGTACAGATGAACGTGGTACCTTCAGGCGTTTGGAAATTGCTCCCAAGGATGAACCAGACTTGTGGAGGTCTACACATTTTTTCTGAGGTCTTGGCTGATATCTTTTGATTTTCCCATGATGTCAAGCAAAGAGGCACTGAGTTTGAAGGTAGGCCTTGAAATACATCCACAGGTACACCTCCAATTGACTCAAATGATGTCAGTTAGCCCATCAGAAGCTTCTAAAGCCATGACATCATTTTCTGGAATTTTCCAAGCTGTTTAAAGGCACAGTCAATTTAGTGTATGTAAACGTCTGACCCACTGGAATTGTGATACAGTGAATTATAAGTGAAATAATCTGTCTGTAAACAGTTGTTGGAGAAATTACTTGTGTCTTGCAAAAAGTAGATGCCCTAACAGACTTGCCAAAACTATAGTTTGTTAACAAGAAATTTGTGGAGTGGTTGAAAAACGAGTTTTAATGACTCCAACCTAAGTGTATGTGAACTTCCGACTTCATCTGTGTGTGTGTGTGTGTGTGTGTGTGTGTGTGTGTGTGTGTGTGTGTGTGTGTGTGTGTGTGTGTGTGTGTGTGTATATATATATATATATATATATATATATATATATATATATATATATATATATATATATATATATATATATATTAAAAACACAGGAAAAGCACTGGGCCTTCAACTTTGTGACCATAACTGTGTGCCTGATGGACAGTAATTCAGCTCAACTGTTTTACAACAATATACAACTTTCCAACCATATGGAATCCTGTTTAGACCTGTGTAAATCTGTATAGTAGGGCTGTGTAAATCTGTATAGTAGGACTGTGTACATTTTGTATAGTGGGGCTGTGTAAATCTGTATAGTGGGGCTGTGTAAATCTGTATAGTGGGGCTGTGTAAATCTGTATAGTGGGGCTGTATAAATCTGTATAGTGGGGCTGTGTAAAGTAGGGCTGTGTCCTGACTCTGCCCTCTCTTTTCTCTTCCTTCCTGTCTCCTCAGAAGAAGGTGGAGCTTCAGACAGACTCCAGAGCCAGTCCCAAGAGGAGCCCCGAGCCGGACATTGACCTGCTAGGCATGGGTAAGGCATGACCAGCATATCCCAGATCCTAGAAATTGATACTCTAAATGGCCGACTTTATCGCGCTCTTTCTTTCTCTCACACTCGCTCTCGGAACCATGTGTCTTCCTGATGGAGGCAGTACGTTTCTATGGCTCCCTCAGCCCTCGCTCCCAGAGTGGCCATCCCATAATAGATGGTCAGATGAAGCCGGAACAAAGGGAGGCTACTTTCAAGGGGAGAAGAGATAGAAGAGCCTGTGCCGCTCTCTCTCATTTCATCGCCCTCTCCCTCTCTCTGTTCAAACTCCACATCATGCACTACTCATCCCTCTCTCTCTCTCTCTCTCTCTCTCTCTCTCTCTCTCTCTCTCACTCTAAATTATTTCCCCTGTTCTCTCTCAAGGGGCAACATTTTGTTCACACTTCAAGGGCTAAATTATGGATGTTCTATCATAGTGTTATATAAAGACTACCATCATGCTGACTTACTTCTCTCTCTACTTCTATCTCTCTCTATTGCTCTCTGGTCAAACTCCCCATCATACACTCCTCCTCATGACCTCTCTCTCTCTCTCTCTCTCTCTCTCTCTCTCTCTCTCTCTCTCTCTCTCTCTCTCTCTCTCTCTCTCTCTCTCTCTCTCTCTCTCTCTCTCTCTCTCTCTCTCTCTCTAGCTCTCTGGTCAAACTCCCCATCATACACTCCTCCTCACGACTCTTCTCTCTCTCTCTCTCTATGAATGGTACATTGTGTACTAATGGTCTCACCTCTTGAGGAGGGGGAACACAGTTTCTCCCCTCGCCACATTCTCATTCTTTCCCTGTCTCTTTCTCTCTCTCCCCAATGTCCCATGGTGTTTTCCCTCCCTTCATAGAGAGCAGCTGTATTGTAGACGGGCAATGTCTCTGTGGGATCACAATCAACCAGCATCCCTGTTTCTCTTCCAGCTGTGTCTCTCTCTCTCTCTCTCTCTCTCTGCCTCTCTCTGCCTCTCTCTGCCTCTCTCTCTCTCTCTCTCTCTCTGCCTCTCTGCCTCTCTCTCTCTGCCTCTCGCTCTCTCTCTCTCTGCCTTGCGCTCTCTTTCTCTGCCTTGCGCGCTCTCTCTCTCTCTCTGCCTCCCTCTCTCTCTCTCTGCCTCCTCTCTCTCTATCTCTCTCTCCTCTCTCTCTCTATCTCTCTATCTCTTCTCTCTCTCTCTCTCTCTCTCTCTCTCTCTCTCTCTCTCTCTCTCTCTCTCTCTCTCTCTCTCTCTCTCTGCCTATTGAGCTTATATCACATTTGAAAATCAGATTTATGATTCCAAAAATAGCCCTTGAAAACAATTGGCAGTTTGTGATCCACAAATTGAAATTCAATTCCATTTGAACTTCGGAGGTGAAATCACTGTGAATGAAAATCCATATCCACCTGAAAGTAATGGGCCATTTCTTAGTTGACTGTTTTGAAATAGCGTTGAGTTATATTCATATACCTGTGTCGAGAGAGCTGACTGGGCTTTTTCATTCATTTAAGGTTCTGAACCCCAAATAAATAATCTCCCAAAATATCCTCCTACGTCTAAGGAGGGAAGGGGAATAGGCAGCACATCATAAATAATCAGGAGTCATATATACACACACACACACACACACGGATATGAGATTTCGCACAAAATTAATACTGCCTACAGGTCAATGTTTACTCTCTCCCTTCTCTCTCTCTCTCTCTCTCTCTCTCTCTCTCTCTCTCTCTCTCTCTCTCTCTCTCTCTCTCTCTCTCTCTCAGATGCACCTGCAGGTGGAGCTGCAACCAGTGCTACTGCTACACCAGTCAGCGATGAGGACATCTTTGGTCCAATGGTGTCCAACCCTCTGCCCTCCTGCAACAACACTCAGGTACCAACTCTCACCTCTTCCTCTGGACCACCTCACACCACAACCCCAAATCTCACCTTCTCGCTCCATCAACCTCCCATTGTTGTCAGACTATGCCCTCTCCCCTGTGGATACAATTGTAGTCAGTGAAGACAGACTGGAGCACTGGGCTTTGTGTTCCTCTGCAGTAAGAACACACTCATACACACACATTGACCTCAACTCATGCGCGCACACACACACACACACACAAAAACACACACATACACTACCAGTCAAAAGTTTGGACACACCTACTCATTCAAAGGTTTTTCTTTATTTTTTTGGACTATTTTCTACATTGTAGAATAATAGTGAAGACATCAAAACTGTGCAATAACACATTTGGAATCATGTAGTAACCAAATTAGTGTTAAACAAATCAAAATATACTTTATATTTGAGATTCTTCAAATAGCCACCACTTTGCCTTGATGGCAGCTTTGCACACTCTTGGCATTCTCTCACCCAGCTTCGAGGTAGTCACCTAGAATGCATTTCAATTAACAGGTGTGCCTTAAAAGTTAATTTGTGGAATTCTTTCCTTCTTAATGCGTTTGAGCCAATCAGTTGTGTTGTGACAAGGGTATACAGGAGAAAGCCCTATTTGGTAAAAGACCAAGTCCATGTTATGGCAAGAACAGCTAAAATAAGCAAAGAGAAACAACAGTCCATCATTACTTTAAGACATGAAGGTCAGTCAATAAGGAACATTTCAAGAACTTTGAAAGTTTCTTCAAGTGCAGTCACAAAAACCATCAAGCGCTTTGATGAAACTGGCTCTCATGAGGATCGCCACAGGAATGGAAGACCCAGAGTTACCTCTGCTGCAGAGAATAAGTTCATTAGAGTTACCAGCCTCAGAAATTGCAGCCCAAATAAATGCTTCACAGAGTTCAAGTAACAGACACATCTCAACATCAACTGTTCAGAGGAGACTGCGTGAATCAGGCCTTGCAAAGACTCCACACTTAACCAGCATGGCTACCACAGCATTCTGCAGCAATACGCCATCCCATCTGGTTTGGGCTTAGTGGGACTATAATTTAGTTTTTCAACAGAACAATGACCCAACACACCTCCAGGCTGTGTAAGGGCTATTTTACCAAGAAGGAGAGTGATGGAGTGCTGCATCAGATGACCTGGCCTCCACAATCCCCCGACCTCAACCCAATTGAGATGGTTTGGGATGAGTCGGGCCACAGAGTGAAGGAAAAGCAGCCAACAAGTGCTCAGCATATGTGGGAACTCCTTCAAGACTGTTGGAAAAGCATTCCAGGTGAAGTTGGTTGAGAGAATGGCAAGACTGTACAAAGCTGTCATCGAGGCAAAGGGTGGCTATTTGAAGAATCTCAAATGTAAAATATATTTTGATTTGTTTAACACATTTTTGGTTACTACATGATTCCATATGTGTTATTTCATAGTTTTGATGTCTTCACTATTATTCTACAATGTAGAAAATAGTAAAAATAAAAACCCTTGAATGAGTAGGTGTGTCCAAACTTTTGACTGGTACTGTATAACAGACAAACACATAACACACACTCATAATGTGCAGTCTAGTCCTCCCATTGCATGTCCTCTGAGAGCTGGAGAGAGGTCGGAGTGTATTGTGTTAATTTCACAGTGTAAACCGAGACAGTGTGTCCCTGTCCCCAGCTCCCCAGTCACAGCTGACACTGTTGGTTAGTTAAGGCCTGTCAGATGAAAGGACACGCCGCCAATAATGTGTCTGTGGATATTACCACTGGAGAGGGAGGAGGATGAGAGGGGAAAGGAGTGGGATGGGGAAGAGGGAGATTGGGACAGAGTGCAGGAGGAGAGAGAGAGAGAGAGGGAGAGGATAGTCTGAACTGAGGAAGAGAGAGGAGCCATATTTCCCCCTCTCACTTTCTCCCCCTCTCTCAGCTGTCTCGCCAGTCTGAGAACAGCAGTGGAGAGCTGGAGAGATAAAGAGTTAAATTCAACATTTGTGAACGAGGTGTGTTTGATAGGTGCCACAGTCATTCCCCCACTCCTCCCTTCATCCCCTTCCAACTCCCATACCCCCTTGGATCTCCACTGCCCACACACACACACACACACACACACACACACACACACACACACACACACAGAAAGAACATGGATCTCCCCTTTTCTTGTTTCACGGCTCACAGCATACACCGGCTACATGCCACCTGGGAGCACGCCAACCCAGGACACAGCACAGTCCTGACTCTGAGCATGAAGAGCAATTATGGCTGGTTGGTTCCAGCATCTCCAACTACCGCTGTTACCAACCTCAACCTTAAATAAAGGTTAAATAAAAAAATAAAAAATAAACCTGCCTTTTCTCTCTCAGCCCCTCCCCTCCCTCTATCCCTCAGCCCCTCTCCTCACTCCATCCTCTCTCCCCTCCATCCCCTCTCTCCTCCATCTGCTCTCCACCCCTCTCCTCCCTCCATTCCTCCATCCCCACTTCCATCCTCCCTCCTTCATTCCTATTTCCTTCCCCCCTCCCCTTCGTTCCCCATGCCTGTCTCTCCCTCCCTGCCTGTCTACTGTTCATCTAGGGGACACACAACACATTTTCAATGCTTGCACGTGGAAGGAATCCAGATACACAACGAAAGAATACACATGAATACACACTTTCCTACTGGCTGCTTATGATTGTTTTGTGCTACTGGTTTGAACTGTGGTACACACAAACACACACCCCTACATTAGACAGCACTGAGCTGCTTTCCCTCCGCTATTAAAGAGGATTTCGTTATGCTCTTCTATCTCTGAATATGTCAATTATGAAAATGTGATTACAGCTCTCCATTACCTGGGATCTGTGTTATCCCCAGCTTCTCAACCAAGGACCCTTTTTTCACTCTGAATATTCTGGAAAAACAGAGGCAGAGAGATGGAAAAATATTGATGGAGATGGAGAGCAAGAGAGAGGGTGTTCTCCCACCAGTCGGTTATTAGTCTTTCAATCTGTTCCCCCTCTTTCTCTTCCCTGGCCAGGTTAGTCTTTCAACCCCCCCCCCCCCCCCCCCTCCATACACATGCAGACGCGTTACGTGCACTCACAAACCTTCTGCTCAGTAGTATTGTCGGCTGTAGACGGTGTGTCATAGGGGGGTAGTGTGTGTGTGTTCTGCCAGATTCTGGCAGGCTGGTACACACGCTGCTAAGTATTTGTGGGTCTGAATGTAGAAGTATATGAATATTGACACCGTGGGAAAAGGCTGTTGAATGGAAATGCCACTTCTAATTCACAGCTTTGTGGAGATTCAACAGAGGGGAATATAATACGGAGATTGGAACACAGTGTGCTAGAGTGGGAGCCCAGCTATGCACAGATCGTGTGTTGCTGTGTACCTGACTGTGTCCACTATAAGGACATGTACAGTCCCTGCTTTTTCTTCCACTTCAGTCTCTTTGTTCCCTCCACATTGACCAGACACACACACCCCTCCCTCTCTCTCCTACTCCCACTTCACTGCTGATCCAGAAGGCAGTCAGACAGAAACACAGATCTAACATTAGGAAAACTCTCCTTGTTGGGCCACATGCAAATGCCTGGGTATTTATAGCACATTGATACATATTGCAACACTCCAGAGCCGCCTGCTTGTCACCTTAATCTGTCTCGGCGCTAGTATAGTGTAAATGGACTGTGTGTGTGTGTGTGTGCGCGTGCGTGTGGACAGTAAAAGGTCATGCTCATGAATGTTTAAGTCCCTGCTCCAATAGCACACCATTTGTGTGTTTTAATCACCACTGTGTGTGAATCGGATGTCTGTGACTCAGTTCGTCTGTTTGTACAAGGCCAAGTGTACAGGTGTGTAAGTATGAGACTACTATTCTGCTTTGTTCTGCACATTCCCTCTTTTTTCCTCCTGCTCCCTCGTTCCCCAGTCAAAGAGACTGCAGAGAGACGGGAGAGCAGCGCTGCCTGCTAAGCAGCCGAATGCCACAACACACAAAGCCCTTCCTGTGGCGCGTGTAAAGCTCAGTTATCGCACAACTTCTCTCCTGTCTCACCTTATTCATGAACTAACTCCCCCTTCTCTTCCCTCCTCCCTCTCTCTCTATCGCTCCTCCCCTCCCTCCTCCCTCTCTCTCTATCGCTCCTCCCCTTTCCCTCCTCCCTCTCTCTCTATCGCTCCTCCCCTTTCCCTCCTCCCTCTCTCTCTATCGCTCCTCCCCTTTCCCTCCTCCCTCTCTCTCTATCGCTCCTCCCCTTTCCCTCCCTCCTCTCTCTCTATCGCTCCTGCCCTTTCCCTCCTCCCTCTCTCTATGCTCCTCCCCTTTCCCTCCTCCCTCTCTCTCTATCGCTCCTGCCCTTTCCCTCCTCCCTCTCTCTCTATCGCTCCTCCCCTTTCCCTCCCTCCTCTCTCTCTATCGCTCCTGCCCTTTCCCTCCTCCCTCTATCTCTATTGCTCCTCCCCTTTCCCTCCTCCCTCTCTCTATCGCTCCTCCCCTTTCCCTCCCTCCTCTCTCTCTCTATCGCTCCTCCCCTTTCCCTCCTCCCTCTCTCTCTATCGCTCCTCCCCTTTCCCTCCCTCCTCTCTCTCTATCGCTCCTGCCCTTTCCCTCCTCCCTCTCTCTCTATTGCTCCTCCCCTTTCCCTCCTCCCTCTCTCTATCGCTCCTCCCCTTTCCCTCTCTTCCTCTCTGCAGCCTCTCTCTATCTTAGCCCTCCCTACATACACTTTTTCATATTTTTTGCCACCTTTTCGCCATCCTCATCCATTAGACTTAATGGGTGTCTGTGTGGGCAGGTATGTTTGTGTGTTTAACCCCTGACAGTTGTGGAAATTGGCCTGTATGGATCGGGCCAAATTGAAAAGTTTCTAACAGAAGAACTATATGCATGACCATGGTAGCAATTGAAAGGGACCACTTTGGAGATGATGGGGTAATTATCAGACCAAAGGTGAGGACAACAGTTCCCCTGACACAAGACTGAATCCAAACATTACACTGTTGATTTGATGTGCATTTTACATTTACTGTACTTTTCACAGCATTAACATGTTTTGAAATCTGAAAATACTCTGGATACATTCAGTAACATAATACAAATATTAATTGACATTTTGGAGTAGGTGCAAGATAAGAAAAACTATTCCAATGGTTTGAGTGAGAGGGCTTACTGGTGTCTCCAAGTGGCCACACACCTATCCAAACTATGCACAGTTCCTAAGTCATTTCATTGCACATTTATGACTCTAGGAAAGAGCCTTCAACTATAAGGGGCTTTTTTGAGCTCTCCTAGCTTTGCCGTTGAGGAACTGAAGCAAGCACACTTGTAGTTTTTTGTTTGGAACACAGCCCTGCATCCTCACCTTCACACAATTACTGTTGTTGTTTACGCAATCCATTATAAATCGCAATCTGGGTCAGGTGGGCATAATTTGAAAGCGTATTCTATTGTCAACATGGCTAGCTAAGTTATAAAATATGATCTTACAGTGTTAGGCTTTCAAAAGGCACTTCAGACAAACATTGTAATTTTGGTGTGCATTCAAGTACGTGTGCCACGACTAATTTTCTTCACAATACGACAAACAGGCTCATTCTGTTCAGGACAACCCAGGGTATAACGCATGTCATTCTTGTAACTGTGGATCAAATATAGCGGTCATAAACGTTGATACTGTAAATTACATGAGTTTTCAAATATGGAAATGTGATGTGCGTCTCATCTTTCAGAACACATCGACTCCACTCGATTTACAGCATTTCCCTCACTCAGTTAACAAATGGGCAAAAGTAGCCCAATTAGCGGGAGGGATGGGGTTATCTTCTTGTCGCGTGCGGTGCTCAAGTTCAGAACGGCTGTCAGTCAAACCCATACAGCGCTGTGAAGCGCAGAACCTGAGCTCTGACGTCATGTATAGCATGTTACTGAACAGCCAATGCGTTCCAATTTAAGCGCTTATCAATGACAAAATCTGCCATTTTCAACCTGTATATGCGATGAATGGGGCTGTGACAAGGGTTAAAATGTTTTTATAAAGGGTGTGTGTCTTCTCACGCTAAGCCTCATTCTCGCTATATTCATCTCTCTCTTCTGCACCAGTCTAATTAACATCATTCATCTCACTTAAGGTGACCACCTCTTCTTTTCTTCGGTCTCTCTCTCGCTCTCTCCTTTAATTGCTGCCTGTCAGTCGTACTACCTCTACCTTGTGAGTGCGTGGACGTGCGTGTATTTGTGTTTGTGCATTCTGCTCATGCAGGTTGGCTTTAGTAAATCAATTTGCTCCCAGATCTATCACACACACACACACACTCATATATATTCTCTCTCATCTTCCTATGTGTTGTTCTGTCCCTCCAGGCGGTCTCCAGTGCAGCCCCAGGCGCCCCAGCAGTAGCAGCACCCGCGAGGGGATCGGGGGGTGCAGCTGGCCCCCAGGCTAATCTGGACCTCTTCAGTGAGAAGAACAGTAGTAGCACCAAGACGGAGGAGGGGGCCAAGAAACCCCTCTCCAAGGACTCCATCCTCTCCCTCTACAGCAACACTACGGTCAGCCCACAGCCTGCTGCACCAGGTAACGCTACGTACAGTACGTACATAGCTGAGTGAACCTATTCTTTATGTAACGTTGCTGCAGCAGACATCTAGTGGCGGTAACCTTAAGAATGTATTGCCTCTGCTGATATTAAGTGTTGACCCCAATGCTTTCTCTTTCTCTGTGTGGGTGTGTGTATCCCCTCTTCCAGCTGCTGCTATGTATATGGGCCAGCCTCCGATGCAGCAGTTCCCCAGCCAGCCCTCTGGACAGCCTAACTTCCAGACTTACCCCGGAATGGGCGGCGCTATGCCACCCACCACCATGACGGGCGGGGTTATGGCCCAGGGAGGAGGAGCCATGATGGGGCAGAACTCTGGCATGATGGTCAGCATGGCGATGCCCAACGGTTACATGGGCATGCAGCAAGGCATGATGGGGCCTCAGGGTG